GTTGAGGGAAGAGAAAGAGAGGAAATATATGTTCAAAAAAGGAACCTCTTTCTTTTTTTTTTTGTTTTGAGTTTACAAAAATCTGTGCTCAGGGTTCATTTCTGGTGGGCTCAGGATTCATATGGGACCTGGATCAGCTGCTTGCTAAGGAAGCACCTTATTCACTATACTATTTCTACAGCCCCTGCGTTTTAAGTATATTTCCGACTGGCATTATATTACTGATAAATTTCAACAGAGTTGATATTAAACTGTATCTGTTTGGGGTCAAGAGACTTGGCCCTCTCAGTTATTCTGCATTTGGATAAAATGATCTGAGCAATAAAGTAGAATGGTGGGTATATAAATCTGGGCGATGGTGCCCTGAGGATGACAGAATGTGTATGTGAAGGGGGCTTACTACCCTGAGCACTGTATCAGAATACATTGAATCAATGTAGAAAAGCTACCTGCAGTATTTGATCTTAAGAGCTGATAACATTTAAAATGTATCACCTCTCTTCCAAAACTATCAAACTAGGAATATTCCAATCAGATTGGAATAAGTGACCAATCCAAGTCTGAGTAATACAACAGAAGCTGTCAGCTTTTTCTCCCCCCTCAGTGTCTGAAGGAAGCAGATACTGGTTGTTGTATGGTTTCATGTCTATGCCAGACAATGTGTATGAAATCCAGACCCACACCATGGACAGATGTGGCCCAAATCCATGCCTCCTCGGACCGGTGTTTCCCACAAGGATCCTGCTTTCATTGAGCACTGGAGTCATGTTAGTCTCCACCAAGAGAGAAAACAGAGGAAAGAGAAAGAGGCCGGACAAGGAAGGGCTTGAAGACTTAACTATTAAGTGGAGAAAGCAGAAAACTTCTTCCAACTGTCCTGCAAATCTCTACTTGCCAATCCAGCCTGCTGGCCAGCCTGGTGACCCTGCATGCTTACCACGGAGTCCTAATTGAACCATCATCCTTTTTCCTGTGTTGGATGTAATATGCGTTAGGAAAATCAATCCATTTGTAGGGGGGAGAAACCAGACTGGTTTCCTGCTAGTGCTCATATTTTCACTAAAACCCCATTTTACTGGAACCAACATTGAAAAAAACAGCACATTTTATTCAAAACAAGGCAATATTGGTATTGACAGAGCTGCAGTGATAATGAGGACGATCAATTTTCCCTCCTCCATTATGGGGTATCGAGCAATTTGGGAGTAAACTTGTGGCTTCATTAGACAGGATCAGCATTTCTCCCTTTTGAAAACTTTTTCTTTTTTTTTCTTTTTTCAATTTTGAATATTTAGATTTTAAGTATTTCTCCTCTAGTGGCAAAAAAGAGTAAAAAACCAAACACAACAAACACTCCTCCCCTCACCCTTCAAATGCTCCCTAAAGCAATAAGTGAAGTGCTGGTAATAAAAACTGGAGATTGTAGACATATCTTTTTAATTCTTATTAATAATACATTGTGATGTTATTTTTGCATTTTGCTTTATACAGACTGTCTCCCCAACTATCCCCCTAAATTAAGAGTGCAGTTACCAAATAACCCAAGTTCTCGGAGAGTGAAAGCTCAAGGCATGAGAGCAGAAACTCTGATTCTGCATGGAGCAGGAGGGAAGGCAGAAGTGCCGGCTCTGTTGATGCAGCAAAGGATGCATAGAGTGAAAATTTTCCTAGTGCTGAAGGCTAGGTTCCCCGAATTGGAGCCCAAGACAGGAGTTTCCTTGATTGGAAATTGCGGAGGGAGGACTTGGGAGAAGGTCAATGAGCAAAACAGGATTGAACAAAGGAAGGTGCTGAGAGATAGTATGTTGTCTGTTGAAGTCTGACATCAGCTGGGGCCCATGGGGGATCTAAAGCATGACCTAGACCACAAAGACTGAAGGGCATAATTTGGGTGTGAGTACCTGCATAGGTGTGTGTGTGTGTGTGTGTGTGTGTGTTCATTGATACACGTGTCCATGTGTGCATAAGAGTGTGCACACATTTATTTGTATATGTAAAGATAAGTGTACATATATAATATGTGTATCTGAATGCCTGCTAATGAATGGGTTTATGGTTCATTTTCATTTCATCATCCTGTTATTCGTCCATTGCCTCGAGCAGGCCCCAGTAACGTCTCTTTCATCCTAGCCCTGAGATTATATTCAAGGCTCTTTAGGAGAATGAGACCCATCATTGTTACTGGTATTTGGCATATTTGGTACGCCACGGGGAGTTTGCCAGACTCTGCCCTGTGGGCAGGCTACATTCGATAGCCTGCAAGTTTGTCCAAAGTAGGAATGAGATAATAAGATGTCATAAAAAGATGTCCTGATAAGATGTCGCGGCCGCGTGATTCCGGGGGCTGGATTTTATAGTCTCTGAACCTGCTAGAACCTCCAAACAAGGGTCTATGGTGCGCATTTGTAAATATGTGTGAGTACTATACGTGCTTATGTATACATCTATGGACAAGTGGGACCATAGCTACATGGCAAGGGCAGCTACCATTTAGGAAAGAGTGTCCTTCACAACTGTGATGGGTGCACTCCGACAGAGAAAGAGTTGTAGGTGGGGTGTCCAGAACACCCAATCATATATAATTGGTATATCTCCTTCTCCAGATAATATCTTATGTGATAGCAGAAGAGAAAGCAGACCATCTAAAGAGATTTTGTGAAGAAAATTCCCCAAACCATTTATATATGTCTCCCCAAATGTCCCAAAGTAGTGCATTCCTGTGATATCTTTCATAACTCCAAGTGAATATAGCAGAAAAGAAGTTATTATTAATTTTTATGGACAATTCTTGAATACTCTGAGACTACCCCACACCAAATAACACATCAAATTTCTAACAACACTTGATCTGGAGAAAACAAAAAGGCACGGAAAAATTCTCAGGTTGCATAAATTTATTCATGGTGAAGAAGCTGAGTGGGACAATTTCTACTGTGGAAAATGCACATATTCTAGGAAGAACATAGCTAAGTCTCCATGCTCAGTGAGCTTGGACTTGTGACTTTTATCATTAAAATTCAAACCCTCTTCAGGTTTCTTTGAGCTCATTAGAAAGACATTCAAACAGGCCTTTTTTCATAAATCGTAAAATTCAAATAGTGCAACATGAATTCCACAAAGCAGGACTATCTGTATCCTTAGAGGGCTGGGATTTCAGGGGTTTATCTGAGGAGGAAGAGTTTAATAAGCACTCATTAGATTTAGTTGATATTTTCTGAGAAACTCTAGGCACTATAGCCCATGTTTCTCAAGGACATAAATATTAGAGAGGACTTGAAACCTAGTAGAGGTTAGAGAAAGTATACAGTGTCTAAGTGGTAGAAAGTACTGGGGACACCATAGGTGTGGGCAGGAGGGACCAGTGAGTCTTCCCAGCAAGGCCCCCATGTGTGCTCTGTGTGCTTGGCTAGTTGAAGTTAGCAATAGAGAGGGATGCCTCTGCCACAGCTGCTGTGTGTGTGCGTGTGTGTGTATGTGTGTGTGCATGTGTTGCAAAGGAATGGGAGGGAGAGGTGAGAATCTCTGCTGGTGGTATTCCTAGTCTGACCTTTGATATTACCAAGTGTAAGCTCAAACTCAGGACTATTCTTTGGTTGGTGGTTTTTTTAGTTTGATTTTTTTGGGGGTTCTTACCCGGGGATGCACAGGGGTTACTCCTGGCTCATGCACTCAGGAAATTGAACCCAGGTCGGGCGTTCAAGGCAAAGTATGACCTAGACCACAAAGACTGAAGGGCATAATTTGGGTGTGAGTACCTGCATAGGTGTGTGTGTGTGTGTTCATTGATACACGTGTCCATGTGTGCATAAGAGTGTGCACACATTTATTTGTATATGTAAAGACAAGTGTACATATATAATATGTGTATCTGAATGCCTGCTAATGAATGGGTCTATGGTGTGCATTTGTAAATATGTGTGAGTACTATACGTGCTCATGTATGCATCTATGGACAAGTGGGACCATAGCTACATGGCAAGGGCAGCTACCATTTAGGAAAGAGTGTTCTTCACAACTGTGATGGGTGCACTCCGTCAGAGAAAGAGTTGTAGGTGGGATGTCCAGAACACTCAATCATATATAATTTGTATATCTCCTTCTCCAGATAATATCTTATGTGATAGCAGAAGAGAAAGCAGACCATCTAAAGAGATTTTGTGAAGAAAATTCCCCAAACCATTTATATATGTCTCCCCCAAAACTTGCAAACGCCCTACTCGCTGTGCTATTGCTGCAGCCCCTATAGTTTGATTTTTGGGACCTTTCAAGTGGTACTTAGGGCACATTGGGGTCTATCCAGGCAATTCTAAGCCATTTGAGCCAGAATTTCAGTATGAGAGACAGAGAATATGGTGCTGCAGTGCTGGGGACCACCAGGATAGTGTTTGGGGCCTCCAGAGCCACACCTGGCAATGCTGGCAGGGGCAATGAAAACTAGATATCGAACTGCACATAAGGCATGTGCCTTAACCCCTCTATTATCTCTTTGGTCCTTTCAAGCACAGGAGTGTTAAGTGAAGAAGCCATGTGGGAAGGAGGGTGGCCCACAAAAGGGCTTAGCCTTCTCATAGCTCTAGCTGCTGCTAAGGTGTCTGATGGAGCTCCCCATCTTTTGAGAGAGGCTGCAAGCCTAGACTTTGACGTAAAACTTCAGATTCCTTAATGTTCACAGTGAATTCTGAAGCAGCTCCTGCCAGCAGAGGCCATCAATGGCATCTCTGGGAAGAGGAAAGTCTGAATGCCAGTTTCAGTCTGTGTGAAGCCTTCTTGCCTCTGTCATTGATCCCAGGGACCTCCACTGGCCCAAAGACTATCCTCACTGACCTGAACTGAGCAGGTACATCTGAGAACACACAAGGCAAATGGAGGTGGGGGGTGCATTGAGAATATCCTGCGTAGGGTATAGTCTCCATTCAAGGTCGATTTTGGAGCCTATCACAATCTGTCCCCAAATATTTCCACCTTCATGGCTCATTGTATTTGGTTTGGTTTCCTCTTAGCTCTCCGAAGAGATCCAGTGTTCTCTGGTCAGTCACATCCAGTCTGTGGTGAAATCGGAGAAGAACCGTCAGGTCATGTGTGAGGCTGGGATGCTCAGGACACTCATGACCTCCTGTCACAAGGCCTTGGCCACTCCTAGCAGCTCCTTACATGCGGGCCTCATCAGGATTTTCGAAAAACTTGCTTCCCAAGCCATTGAACCAGATGTGCTAAGGTACCATGCACCATGTGTTGGATTCTGTTGGGCTGTGCTCCTGTGGGACAGAGTAAGCCCAGTAAGCAGTAGGAGTGCAAGGGGCAGGGACCCTCTGGCCTCCTTCATCCAGCAGAGGCTTCCTGGTGAGGGATGTTGCAAATCCAGGCAAGAAGCTTGGGTCTGTGTGGGTCCACAAGACAGACCTAACCCTCCCCATGGAACTGAGGGTGTGTAGGATGAGGGGACCATCATCCAACTGTCCTACAGACACTGAAGAATATTATGTGAGAAGGCTTGGTGGAGGGTAACCTCAAGCTGGAAGGTCCATAATGGGGTGACTAGATAGAAAAGGGGAGGGGATTGGAATGATAGCACAGTGCGTAGGGCACTTGGCTTGCATGAGGCTGACTTGGATTCACTCCTGACTTCTGTATGGTTCTCCAAGCTCTGCCAGGAATGATCTCTGAACACTGAGACTGGAGTAAGCCCTGAATACTACTGGGCATGGCCCAGAAACCAAAACAAGTAAAAAAAGGGGGGGTAGTGGGAAGGGGCATAACTTCAGAAAAGTGATTCTGCCTAAGCCCTGAAATCTAAGTAGACACATAAAGATAAGTAGACGCAGAAAGTAGGCATGTGAAGGGCATGTGAAAATGCCCTTCAGAAGGAGGTGTTGGGAATTGTGAGACTCGATAAAGAAGACAAGAATAGTCCAAGACAGTGATAGGAACTCGCTGGTAGAAAACACCAAAGGCTGGCATCACTCCATTGTGTCCTGTGGGGCTGTTGAGGCTGGTAGCACTGTTGTGACTCTCATGGTTCCTAGAGAGTTGAACAGGAAGAGAGGCTGCATAGGACACAGCTGACAGATGAAAAGGCAGATGGAAAAGGCTACGGAGGGAGGGCAAAATTCTCTTAAGTCCAAAGGGTCAGGCTCGTAGACCTGGCACACTGCCCCTGGGCCCCTGCTGGGATGGAAGACTCCCCGTTGGTCAGCAGCATGGCTTCCAGGCCTTTCTCGGCCCTGTAGGCTGAGAGTGCCAGTCTTTTTACCCAGCTGTTCAATAATTCACTCTGAAACTTAGAGCACAACAAACCTGCCTCCCAACAAATGCCTTTTCCTCCCATGGGCCAGTTGAAGTTCTGAGCTAGTCCCTAGTTAAGTCCGAAGCACTCAGACTCACCAGCTGTCTGGTCTGGGCGCCAGCACAGACATGATTCCTACAAAGGTAAGGGGAAAGTTTCTGGGTAGACAATGAACATGGAGGGAATTTTGGGGAGCACTGGCATCTGGGAAAATGTTTGGATAATGCTGGAGAAAATCACTATGGAAGGTTTTCCCATGGTCCTCTCCTATGTTATGCTTTTCAGACAGTTTCTAGGTCTCGGCATCACTTCATCTCCGTCGACTGCAGTGAAAATCCTCACTTCATCTCATGTGCATGAAGGAGATTCCAGTGGTTCAGGTGAGGACAGATGAGAGGAGAGGGTTAGGATGCTGGGGTTTAAAGGAGAAAAGGGTGAAGGATGGCTCAAAGGGCTAGAGTACATACTCTCATGGGGGAGTCCTAAGTTTATTCCCCAACATGGGCCCCCAGCGACCTCTGGGAATAGTCAGGTGTCGCCTCCAATCCAAATGAAAAGACATTAGAATAAGATGTCAATTATAGCAAGTGGAAAGCAGGCAGATTTTAAAAATAGCTCTTCCTATTGTTCAATGGTGCAAACGAGAAAACCAGGACCTGTGGAGGGAGAGACCAGATGAGGAAGGAAAAAGGAAACCTCAGTCCTCTGTAAGGTTATAGTACACCTGTCTCTCCTTGGATCCAGATCACAGAAATAGTAATGGGGTTATGTCCCAACAGGAGTTGGACTTCCCATGCTGCTCCTGGACAGAGAAGCCTGTGATGGTTTTCTGCACAACTCCCAGCTCAGGGTGACTTAAGGAGTTGGGGAACAAGTAATGGGTGGTTGTGTGAATGTCAGGCCTAGTTTTGGGAGCATCCTGGTGCCAGAAGCAACTTGCAGAAAGAAAGCTGCAGGTATGCTGAATGCCAACGCACATCAAACATTAAGGCCAGGAGACCCAAAAGAAAAACAAGAAGACTCAGGTTTGGGCTGACGACTGAAGATGGGGGACCTGAGCTTTCAGGGAGTTCAGCAATTGTGAGGGAGTGTGGAGTTTGGTAAGCTAGAAACTGCTAATGGGACTAACGAAGGACAGCAATGGAAAATGGTGTGCTGGATGCAGGGTAGGTAGAGTGGGTTTGAGGAGTTAAAAGGACAAGTTTCTAGAAGGAGGAGATTGGCACAAGCTTCTTAGTTAATAAAATCAGAAGAGAGCAGTGAGATATGCCCATAAGGCCAGCCACATGTGCTAGGTGAGAAGGAAGCTCAGATAGAGAAGAGAGCACCAAATAAAGGGTGTTGTGAAGACCCTCCCAGGGTGGGAGAGACATGCTAAAAGTAGTCTATAGACCAAACATGATTGCCACTCAATGCCTCTCTGGCAAAACACAGTACCCAAAAGAAGAGAGAGAGAACAAGGGGGAATGCCCTGCCACAGCGGCAGGGTGGGACGGGGCGGGGGGCATGGGGGGTGGGAGGGAGGCTAGGACCCGTGGTGGGGGAGGATGGGCACTGGTGGAGGGATGGGTACTTGATCATTGTATAACTGAAACCCAAGCACAAAAATTTATAAGTCTATAAGTGTACTTCATGGTGTTTCACTAATAAAAAAAATGATAAAAAAAAAGTCTCTCCATAGTGGTTCAGAAATGCTCCCAGAGTTTCCTGCTGGGACTGGGGCACAGGGTCAGGATTTTATCAGATTTGAACAGACAAGCTTCTTCTTGCTTCCTGCTTGTAGGGTCACAGACAGCTGCATTAGTGAGTGCTGAGGGTCCTGTTGGTGCCACTCTGGATGCTAGCCCTCGGGCTGCACTCACTCTAGCTCCGGGATCCTCCACAGCAGACCTGGGCACCACTACTGCCCTCCAGACAGCCTTGAGCCTAATCTCCATGACCTCCCCACGCAATCTGCAGCCACAGCGGGCAGCCCTGGCTCCATCGTTTGTGGAATTCGACATGGTCATGGAAGGCTATGGGTATGATATACTTCCTGTATCTGAAATAGGTTGGGTGAATTTTCCAGGGCCTCTGACAAATTACAATATTGATCATAGAATTATAGCTCCTGTCACTGCTCACCACTCTGCCCTGGAAAATGATTGGGTCATGGGCATAAGGGTCTTCTTGATGATTTCTCAGGAGCACCAACCTGCTCTGAGCAGGACCAGTCTCCCCTCCTGCCATCTGTGGCCTTCAGAGAGTGTAAGGATTCCCTAGTTCCGATTGTTTGCTGTCCTTGGAGCCTGACTGTATAAAAGGATAGAGGACAGATGTCACAGCCAGAGGTTGACTTGTGCTTTCATGATCTGACTCTTCTCCTTCCAGATGTTTGTTTATCCCCACCCTGTCTATAGTTTTGGGAGCCAGCACTGAGTACTCAGTCTCTGGAGGGATTGGGACAGGTAAGTGTTTTTCAAGGAGTTTCACTCTATACAAGGCCCTGGGATTCCTGGGAGGGGGATAATTTAAGATTTTACTTGGCATTTCAAGGAAGGGCATCTCCCCCTGGTCCTGTGTATCTGCACACAAGTCTCCTTAGCTTTCTTCTGGTTTGCTAGACCCCTCTTTCTGGTTTGACAGGCCCCTCCTTCTAGTCTGTCATACTGTTCCATGTGGTTTATCACATTCTTCCAAAGGGCAGGGGCAACCCAACAACCCAAGTGCCCGAGAACAGATGATTGGTGAAAGAAACTTTGGTACATCTACACAATGGAATACTATGCAGCTATTAGAAAGGATGGAGTCATGAAATTTGCATATAAGTGGATCAACATGGAAAGTATCATGTTAAGTGAAATGAGTCAGAAAGAGAGGGACAGACATAGAAAGATTGCACTCATTTGTGGAATATAAAGTAACAGAATGCAAGACTTACACCCAAGAACAGTAGAGATGTGTACCAGGAGGATTGCTCCATGACTTGAAAGCCGGCCTCACATGCTGGGGGAAAAGGAGGCTCAGATAGAGAAGTGACCACCAAGTAAAGGGTGCTTGGAGAGCCAGCTCGGGATGAAAGATGCATGCTGAAAGTAGCCTATGGACTGAATGATGGCCACTCAATACCTCTATTGCCAACCACAACACCCAAAAGGAGAGAGAGCGAGAGCAAAAGGGAATGCCCTTCCACAGAGGCAGAGTGGAGTGGGGGCATTGGATGGGGTGGTGGGAGGGATACATGGATAATTGGTGGTGGAGAATGGGCACTGGTGGAAGGACGGCAACTCGAACATTGACTGAAACATAAGCACGAACGTTTGCAAATCTGTAACTTTACCTCATGGTGATTCATTAAAAAATAAAATTAATCAAAAGAAGGGGGAAAGGAAGCTTGTTCATTGTATGTCTCAAGTACCCAGTCCCTGGCTCAGCAAGCATTCATGGGCCCAGTGGGTGACTTGGTGACTGATCCTGGGTTACATTATTTTGTGAGTGACTGACAGAGACTTCAATAGACATCTTGTCCCTACCTTATGGCTTTCTCTAGAAATAAATATGAATTCTTAGTTGGTCCTTCAGGAGCAATCCTGTCCTTGATTTCGATGGGAATCGACCTTGACCTTGGTCTGCTTTGCACAGTGCTGAGCTAGCTAAAAGCCAGATCTCCTCTGTTAGGAAAATCAGCGTCTGGGTATGGATGGATAGGTAGCAGTGGAGAATCCGTTACTCTCATGGCCCATCCATAAGGGTTCTCAAGTTTGATTCTGACCAATTGAGTGAGGACAGTGAGATCCTGCTATACAGCCTACCCTGGAGGCATGGAGGGCATGGGCCAGTTTGTAGGGTCCCTGTAAACTCATACCAGTTTCAGTTGAGGGAAGCTTGAATTTTTGCACCATGTTGTGCCAGCAGGTCTATGGACCAAAAGACAGTGAAGCTCGGGGTGTTACCCACTTGCTTTCCCTTCAGCAGTGGGGCAGGGACTAATACGTGGAACAGGACAGGAAGGAGGCTCTGCAGATCTAGGTTCAAGGTGGAAATAGCATTTATTCCTGCAAGGATGAAGGGGACATGTGAAGAGTCCCTTGTCGCATGGGTTGCAGTTGAGAAACAGTAGTGGCTGAGGGTACTCCTGGGTGGATTGGTGTCCTGACATGTGTGGGTCAGTTTCCTTCATGGGCAGGGTGAGGCCTCAGTTGTGCTTGTGTTCTCCTCAGGTGATGCCAGATCATTCCCTCCACCTGGGGGCCTGACCTTCTCCTGCTGGTTCCTGATCGGCAGGCACAGCACGGCCCTCGAGGGCCACCCACTGAGATTCCTCAGCCTCGTGCGCCATCTGGCCAGGACCGAGCAGCCCTTCGTCTGCTTCTCTGTCAGCCTCTGCCCGGAAGACCTCTCTTTGGTTGTGTCTACAGAAGAGAAAGCGTTTCAGCCCCTAGGTACAGGCTGGGAGCCAAAGTGGGGTTTGGTTAGCTCTTGTGGGGCAGGGCTCCAAATGTTTAAAGCTTTTGGTGTTAGGATGTCTACCAGCCTGGGGACCTTTTGTGTCTTTCTCATCTTCTAAAGTTGTGTGCCCTTGCCCTCCACACATGCTGGCTCATCTAAGTGGAGATTAGTGTTGTGCCTGCCATGACCCATGCCCTGTCCTCCCTGTCACTGTCAGGGAGACCAAGCCTATGTTCTGTGGCATTCCCTTTCTGGGAATGCAGCTCTGCCCTGGCAGAGTGGTTATGATGGATATCTGGGCTATGCTTCCTGGGGGACACAAGCTTCCTCTTCTGAGCAAGCATTATGAAGACATACCACTCATCCAGAGCTGAAGGGGTCCTCGACACATGAGCCCAACTTCAGCCCTAATCCAGAAGGCGGGCCAAGATTTAGCAAGGTGAGGGTTGGGGGTCCTGGGACTCCTGCTTTTCTCCCATGGTGCAGGCAGCTGCCCCTATACTCTCAGCCTGGCTCCCCTAACTTGCCTGTCTATGGTCACCCCAGTGGGCCTGAAATGGTACAGCCTGGTATATTACAGTCACGCTGTTCTGTGTACCCTGAGTGTGTCAATATTTCAGAGTGAAACATCCTTTACACCCAGCGTAACTGCCTGTTCCTGCCCCTCCCAGGACTTGGGATGATGTCTCTATGGAGATAGGCTGGGTAGAAGGTAGTAAGGGTGGGTGTATAACCCCCAATTCTCATAGTTGAGTCCTGGCTCCATCATTTTGGCCAAGTTATTTGGTCCCTCTATGCCTCATAAGGGCACATAGGGTTGGTAAGAGCAACTGCCTCTCAGGGTTATGGTGGAAATGAGCGAGTTCATATTTGTTGCAGTCCATAAAAGTGTCTTTCACAAAGCAAGAGGGTGGAAACCACTTTTTCCCCGTGGGCATTTTGTGCTAGTGGGCTGGGTCCTGGCTCCATGACCACCAGGCCTCTTGCTGCTGGACCACTGGAGCTGGTGACACTGGTGAGGCTGGGTGTCTATGCTCTCTTCCAGATGTCATGGAACCCGAGGATGACTGTGAGCCTTCTGCAGGACGCCAGCTTCGTGTCAGGTGTAGCCAGCTGCTGACTTGTGGTCAGTGGCATCACCTGGCTGTGGTGGTCACCAAGGAAATGAAGAGGAACTGTACTGTTTCTGCCTACCTAGATGGCCAAGTCATTGGCTCAGCCAAGGTGGGTTGATTCTGCTGAGTGGCGATTGCCCCATGCCCTGTCTCCTGACTTCTGCACCCTGGAATGATCTCAATTCTGATTTCTTTGGGTGTGGGTTGGGAATCTTATCACTCTCCATGCCCCAACCAACCTTGTCGTCCAGAGTGCTCTTCTCAGATCTGAAAGGGCCATCTTTGGAAGATAGAATGAAACTCATGAAACTAGGGCGGAAGGTAAAATAGGGAACTAAGACTAGTCGTGGCAGGTAAGACCATGAAAACCATTAATTATAGGAAAACTTATGTCTCTAGAGTAAGCAAAGTAAAGTCATTCCCATATTCAAGGGTGATTGTTCAGGGAGAGATGAGCAGTGCCCAAGGTGCTTCCATTCTAAGAGTGTCTCTGGGGAGTACAATACAGCACATCTATGCTCTGCCTTGAAGCCTGGAGTGAGAGCTCCCAGAGACACCAATATCTCTTGCCACAATATGAAAAAGGGATGGATTCTATTTGGAATAGTTCATGATAAGTGAGCACTTGGCAGAAGGAAGCACCTCCTCATTGCACCTTAAAGACCTCTGAGGTTCTGTGGTCTAAGAAGTGGAGCCGTGAGGGATTTGGGGAGCTTGTTCCAACATCCCTAGTCAGAGGACACAAAGATGCTATTGCAGGCAGAGCCCACAAGACCACAAATGGCAGGTGTGACTGGGGTTTTCCCAGGTTCCAGACACGCATGCAATCTAGGCTGCATTCTAGAAACACCTGGAAAGTCATTTAAACTTCTCACATATACTTCTCCAAATTGATCCCTGTTTTCAAATGTTCCGAAGTTTTTTTTGAAACAAACTTTGAATAATGGTTTTAAACTTTTGATTAATGTTTTCAAAGTTTCTGGGTTTTTCTAATATGCCAGAATGGAGAGGCTGTTGATAGTTTCTCAATTTCAACAGTATTGACATTCAGAACATGTGGACAACTTTTTGTTGTGGGGGGCTTAGTCCATGTATATTATGGCACTTAGCATCATTCACGGTACACTTAGATGCTTCTTAAGACCCCCCCTTTCCCCAGGTTGAGTTAAAAAGTATCTTAGACATTTCCAACTATCCCCTCACAAACTAATTCTAGATTGAGAATTGTTAAACTAGAATAACTTCAGTTCTGTTAAACATCCAAAGGTAAATTCAATGCTGCTTTCTGGTAAAACTGTTGCATCCAAAAATAAAAATAGAGTAAAGTAAAATAACTGGTACACAGAAATATTTATTTTTCAATCATCAATAGTGTTGGTCCATCTCTCCTTACTTCCCTTTCCTTCCTTCCTTTCTTTTTTCATAAAGTATTTATTTAATATCTACTATGTATTAGATACTGCTTTCAGAGCTAGAAATGTCAACCAGAGAAATACTTAGAAAGCCACATATTGTACAAATTTAAAAAAATTAAATATATATGTTATATGTATATTAACCTTGCTGTAGCAGAAGTCTCCCATGGTATAACCAAGGATGTGGATTTAATTTTTTGTTGTTGTTGAGATTCTGTGGTTTACACTACTGTTAACAATTATTTCTCAAGGATCTGGACTTTTCACGGTGATTTTTTTCGGGAATCCAAAGAAGTGAATGTCATTGATATTTAGACCTTTCTTGCACATAGCTGCACTGTGCCTGTGATGAATTTCTTTGAATTTATAATTGTACGAGGCAATATGTACTGGCTGATAGTGTTGCTGAGTGAATATTCAATACCCAAAGTCAGCAAGAAAGTTGGAGCAGACTGGCACGGTGGGAATATGTAAGAAATAGGCTCAAACAAGTCATGGAGAATGACCAAGGGTCAAATCTGACAGTGATGATTTTCCAAGATGATCTCAACAAGTTTGATCTAGATCACCAAGAGGAATTGAACTGGGAAAAAGACTTGTATTTAGGTGTCTTTGGCATGTGGTTAAATGCAACATCTGCTGGGAAGGAATAAGATGGCACTGCTGGGACTGGGGATGACCCAATCTAACAGCTGTTCTCAAATGTTAGAGCCTTCGTTTTTATTTCTAAGGGAAGATAAATGTAATTTAGAAATGTGGGGAGTATTTTAGCCTCTGAATTAAACAAAATGATTTGGGAGCAATTTGAGATATCTTATGTTTATAAATCAAAGTGAATGATCCAGTGAGACTATGTAGTTGGAATTTGGGGAGAAAGGGGCCAGCTATATTGGAGAGAAAGAATAGAACTTTAGTGTGTGAGGCAGGAAAATTCTCTTTTCCGGAGAATGAGAGAGGGAGGGAACACAACAGGACTCAATGTAAGCAGGTTTGGCTACCAAAAATTTCAATTGTTAATTTGAAAATCAATTTTTTTGTTGTTATAGAGAAAAAGAATAATGCTTAAATTGAGTCTTATTTCAAATATATGTATATACATTTTCATGTATGCAGTAATATTTTTAGTCATGAGAGTAATGCAGACACATTTTGAAATAACTCAGAAAAATAAGAAAATACATTTCTTCCTTTTTGTTATGTTAAGCCATCTGTAAATAGAAATATTAGATTTGACTTGTTTGTGTCTGCAAAAAAAATCTGTTGAGAAATTTCTATAGGAATTGAATTAAATCTATAGAGCAGAGTCTGGGGAGAGAACTCAAAGAACTCGAGTGCATGCTTTACAAGAGGGAGGCCTAAGTTGGAATTGTATTCCTGCCATCACATGGTCTCCTGTGCATTGCCAAGACACCCCTTGAGCACTGAGATGGGAATACTTCCTGAACAGTGTTGAATATCACCTAAAAACAAAAACAAAAGGAAAATTCTCTAGGCCAAATTGTGAAGAAATGACATTTTTTACTATGTTATTGCTATGAAGATGATATATTTCTCCATTAAATAATTTTCTAATTATTTTCATCATTCTTTTGGAATTTTTAATATGCCCCCTATACATATTTGATTTTCTTTTGAACAATTGGAACCTGTTTTCTTATCAAATGCATATTAGTTATAGATGTTTCTTTTTTAGATTCCTTGGAATTTTCTACGTGAGTTTGATATCTAAAAATAGTTTTTTCTTTCTTTTCAATATGTATGTCTGTAATTGTTCCTTATTTTATTTTATTTTTAAAATTTTTTATTAGTGAAACACCATGAGGTATAGTTGTAGATTTACAAATTTTTGTGCTTGGGTTTCAGTTATACAATGATTGAGTACCCATCCCTCCACCAGTGCCCATTCTCCACCACCATGGATCCTAGTATCCCTCCCACCCCCATCCCCCCATCCCCCCCTGCCTCTGTGGCAGGGCATTTCCTTTTGTTCTCTCTCTCTCCTTTTGGGAGCAATTTGAGATATCTTATGTTTATACATCAAAGTGAATGATCCAGTGAGACTATGTAGTTGGAATTTGGGGAGAAAGGGGCCAGCTATGTTGGAGAGAAAGAATAGAACTTTAGTGTGTGAGGCAGGAAAATACTCTTTTCCAGAGGATGGGAGAGGGGGGAACACAAACTCTTTTTTTTAAAATTTTTTAAAAATTTTATATATATATATATTTTATTAGTGAAGCGCCAGGAGGTACAGTTGTAGATTTACAAATCTTTGTGCTTGGGATTCGGTCATACAATGATCAAATACCCATCCCTCCACCAGTGCCCATTTTCTACCACCATGGATAATATCCCCCCCATCCCCCCCTCCCACCCTGCCTCTGTGGCAGGGCATTCCCTTCTGTTCTCTCTCTCCTTTTGGGTGTACACAAACTCTTTTGTGGTTTGCAAAAGAGGCATTGATCTTAGTAAATAAAAATTAATGGGGGGGGGGCAGAGTGAGATAGCACAGCAGGTAGGGTATTTACCTTGCTGTACTATCAACCCGGGTTAACTCGGGTTCTGTCCTTGACATCCCACATGAGACCCTCAACAACGCCAAGAATAATTCCTGCGTCAATCAGGAGTAACCCCTGAGCGTTGCCAAGTGTCACTCAATTAAAAAAAATTAATGGGACAATAGCACTGTAGCACTGTCCTCCCGTTATTCATCGATTTGTTCGAGCAGGCCCAGTAACTTCTCCATTGTGAGACTTGTTGTTACTGTGTTTGGCATATCGAATATGTCACAGGTAGCTTGCCAGGCTTTGCTATGTGGGCGAGATACTCTCGGTAGCTTGCTGGGCTCTCCGAGAGGGGCAGAGGAAACAAACCTGGGTCAGCTGGGTTGGCTGTGTGCAAGACAAATGCCCTACCTGCTGTATGACTGGGATAGGAAAGATTATCTTCTTAGCTTTCTAAAAAAATTTTGGCTGCATACTTCTCAGTTCCAAGAGTGCTCTTTTTTTTTTAACATTTTCAGATAAACTATGGTTTTACTTTGAGATTATAAGGTACATTATTATGTAATTATATGTCTTTGATCAGTTCTAAAGTTGTATACCTCCCATTACCTCAAAAATTTTTATTTTAACAGATGTTATACATTCAAGCATTACCAGGACCTTTTCTTTCAATGGATCCCTCTTCATTTGTGGATGTTTATGGATATATTGCTACCCCTCAAATTTGGAAACAAAAGTCATCATTAATGTGGCGCCTTGGCCCCACATATCTCTTTGAAGAAGCCATTTCAATGGAAACTCTTGAAGTTATTAACAAACTTGGCCCAAGATACTGTGGTAACTTCCAAGCTGTACAGGTCCAAGGTATGGAGTGTTTTGATTTATAATGTTCTTGCTGATGTTATTTTTTAAAATGGACATCTAGTTATTTATAGCATATTTATAAAGTATAAACTCAGCACAGGTCAGTCATTAGGGAAGACCTCTTTAATTGGATCATTATATATTTACAACCCAATAGAAAATGTCGCAGAAAAGGAAATGACAATATCCTTTGGATTTCAACTCCAAAGAATATAATGGAGCAGAGTGGATGGGTAATACCGTCAGTATAGAAAGAGGGGAGAATGAGATAAATAAGTTACATTCCATTTAATGAAGAAGCTTTTTAACTAAAGTATACTGTTATCTTTAATTATTAAACAGGCAGACAAAACATCCACATTTTCGTTATTGATTGTTGGCTGTTCAAGCAAGGAACATTGCTCTCTGCGCTCAGCCAAGTCAAAGGGGTCAGCTCCCATCTGGGAAGGATGATAAATGAATCTGTGTGTGGATGCCTTGTGCTTGCTGAAGGGCGATTGAGCACTCTGGAGTGTTTTTTGTCTCGAGCCTTATTTTTTTAAACTTTATTTCCTCTGGCAAATGACAATGGCCAGAGAAATGTAGCGAGGTCAGGTCCAGAGCCAAAGTCTTACCCACTCTCATACTATGTGTCTTCAAACCATGTATCTCAAATAGTTTTCACGAGTCAGGAATCCAGGTGCTAATTCCAAGTGAGAAGCTCATTATGGACATAATGCTTACTTTCAGCTTAGCCCATTTTCTTTTAAATATTGTTTGTTTATATACTTAGATTTTATATACTTAGATTTTATATACTTAGTTTGTTTATATACTTATAAAGTTTGTTTATATACTTAGTTTGTTTATATACTTATATAGTTTGTTTATATACTTAGTTTGTTTATATACTTAGTTTGTTTATATACTTATATACTTATATATACTTATATATACTTATATACTTATATATACTTATATACTTATATATACTTATATACTTATATAGTTTATATACTTAGTTTGTTTATATACTTAGTTTGTTTATATACTTAGATTTTATATACTTAGATTTGTTTACTTTTAATTTTTTTGATTATGGACCAGACCTCCCCGTGCGCAGGACTTAATCCTGGCTCTGTATTTGGGGATCACTCCCAATGGTGTTTAGGAGACTAGATGCAGTGCTGGGGATTGAACCGGGGTTCGTTTCATGCAACACAAGTTCCTTATCTGCTGTACTCCCAAACCAGCCCGCTATTTCCTTTTTCATAACTCAACATGCTTATCACGTAGCATTTAGTGAGGTGAGAACCTTTATAGGTGATTCAAGCTCTAGCAATTTCATAATTGGATAACATGTTTTTCACATCAGATTAATTTGCTGATATTTCTTTAGCGCTTTCTATGAGTATCAGAGAAGCACAGGTAAGGACGAAACAGGAGGAACATAAGCACAGGGTATGCACCACACACTGACTATATGCAGTTTCTCAGTGATTGCAATGATTAGTAGTGATCTCAGTGATATTGACTTTCTTAACTATTAATTTTCATAGAAAAATTAATTTTATTTTTTCATATTACTTTTTTCTTTTTTGGGTCACACCCAGCGATGTTCAGGGGTTACTTCTGGCTCTGCAGTCAGGAATTAGTCCTGGCGGTGCTTAGATGATCATATGGGATGCCAGGAATCGAACCCGGGTCTGCCGCGAGGCAAATGCCCTCCCTGCTGTACTATTGCTCCGGCCCTTCATACTACTTTTAATGGAGTAGAAATAGTTGAAGTTTTGTGTTGTTTTAGGAGAGGATCCCAGACAAGAAGGGACACCGCTGGTTGCTGAGGAGAAGGTTTCCTTTGGTCTTCACGTAGCCAGCTCCTCCATCACCAATCTTGTTGAGATCAGAAACACTTACAATGAAGTGGACAGCCGCCTGATTGCCAAAGAGGTATGTCTTCTCTCTTCACTTGCTTCCCCCTTATGGAATCAAAATTATAAGGCATGCTTTTATAATATGCTAAAATGATCACTAACTCATGTTTGCACTTGTGTAGATGGAAACATACAAACATCTTTTCAGATAATGTGTTAAAATACCTTATGCCTCCCTACTTGTTAGCACCCCCTGAAAAGCAAACTTTATTTGTAATTGCTATGAGAAGAAAGTCGATGCTCTTCAATCTTTTATAGTAAAGCAGGAACAATTAGAATACTTAAAAAAAACTGTTGTGTCATGGAAAATACTGTTGAGCTTTCCGTTTTGAGTGCTACAGATTCCTCAACACTACAATATTTTGTGTTACTGTGTTATATTTATTTTAAACATAAGATATGCATATTGAAATCAGACATACTTGTTGATGAAGATGCCTTTAGATTTATTATTTTCCAGCTTATGTATAAAGATCTCTTTTGCTTATCACTGGTGAATTTGGCTTAATTTTTTACATTCTGTCCACCCTCTGAGATTGAGGGTCATCTCCCTTTATGGAGGGGAATGGATAAGAGATTGAGTTTTGCTGAGCACAAAAATCTACCACAGCAATAGATATACTCATGAAGCTCTGATCTTCCCTTCCCTCCCCTTCTCTTATCTATCCTTCTTTCTCTCCTCTCCTCTCCTCTCCCCTCCCCTCCTCTCCTCTCCTCTCCCCTCCCCTCCTCTCCTCTCCTCTCCCCTCCCCTCCCCTCCTCACCTCTCCTCTCCCCTCCCCTCCCCTCCTCTCCTCTCCTCTCCTCTCCCCTCTCCTCCCCTCCCCTCCCCTCCCCTCCCCTCTCCTCTCCTCTCCTCTCCTCTCTCTCCTCTCCTCTCCTCTCCTCTCCTCTCCTCTCCTCTCCTCTCCTCTCCTCTCCTCTCCTCTCCTCTCCTCTCCTCTTCTCTTCTCTCACCTCCCTTCCTTTCTCCTTTTATAGTAAGTTTCCCTTCCCTTCCCTTCCCTTCCCTTCCCTTCCCTTCCCTTCCCTTCCCTTCCCTTCCCTTCCCTTCCCTTCCCTTCCCTTCCCTTCCCTTCCCTTCCCTTCCCCTTCCTTCCTTCCTTCCTTCCTTCCTTCCTTCCTTCCTTCCTTCCTTCCTTCCTTCCTTCCTTCCTTCCCTTCCCCAGCTGTGTTCTATTCTCTAGGATCACTCCTGGATGACTTGGGGAATCATGTGGGATACTCGGGACCCAACCTGAGTTGGCTGAGTGCAGGCGAGAAACTCACATGCTGTATCACGCCAGGATAGAAATTCTGATTTTCATCTACTTGACCTTACAAAAATCAGTGAGCTCAGACTTTCAGAAATTGGATACATTCAAACTGGGAGAAAGGCAACCATGTCCTTTGTAGAATCCTTTCCCCTCCAGCTGCTCCCTGATACTTCTTGACCTCTGAGCATAGGAACACTGTCAGCACAGTTGATTAATCAAAGCTTCTTTCTGTGATTTAGCCAGCGCTTTGGAGGCAGTACATGGAAATCTGAATTTTGGCTTCTGTCTCCCTGATATTGATCCAATTGTTATTCATTCACTGACTGTCACATACTGAGTACTTGCACTGGGTTAGGTCTCAGGTGCCTGCTCTCTAGAAGCTTTAGAACAAGACATCTTCCCTTTCAGGAAAGATTCTCCGAACTCATTATTTTCCATTTCTCTAGATGAACATTTCATCCCGTGATAATGCCATGCCTGTGCTCTTGCTAAGAAACTGTGCTGGTCACCTCTCGGGTTCTCTGAGGACCATTGGAGCCGTGGCTGTGGGCCAACTGGGTACGTCATGTCATGAGCCATCACTATTATGTTGGAAGAAGGGCTGGGAACTGTCCTTGCTTGTGCTGCCTGAATTCCGAGCATCAAACAGAATAGATTATTGGAAATTCAGGACAGGGAGTGAAAAATTGGAGAGTTAACCCTGCCAGAAGATTGGCCTCCCACAGAGCACAGTCAGTTCACCTGGCTGAAACTCCCAACTGCTAGTGAACTCAGCTATGAAGCAAGCTGGCATCTATATCCAACGGAGTCCGTCTCTGACCGTGTTTGAGTGAAAGCAATCAGAAACTGTTAGTCACCAGGAAATTGGGGAGGAGCAAAGTAGTGAGTTGGTGCCAGCTCCCAACCCTGCAGGACCTAGAGCCGAGCAGAGCAGAGTAGAGCCATAGGCTGCCTGAGCAGTCAGTGCACTGACTCACCCAGCACTCTGGCTTGAGGCTGAGTGCTCCTGGGAAATTCCAGCCTTCTTGGAATCCCCAAAGGACTCAGCACAGTGTCTTTTAGTGACTTAGAACTTTCAAACATCTTTCCACTTCCTCCAGTGTGCACTTTTCTCATGTGTACCTTCTGTTGTGGGTAGATGGTGGCAGCTCATTGGCACTTGTGTATTGCTGGGGAGAACTTCCATTGCAAGAGAACTCATCTGCAAGAGAACTGATGGAATTCAACTTTGTCTCCCACAGGGGTGAGAGTGTTCCACGCCAGCCCTGCTGCCAGCGGCCTGGACTTCATTGGTGGGCCTGCCATCCTCCTGGGCCTCATATCCTTAGCTACAGATGACCACACTATGTACGCAGCTGTCAAAGTCCTGCATTCGGTCCTGACCAGCAATGCCATGAGTGATCACTTGATGCAGCACATCTCTGGGTACCAGGTACTCCCATCTGCCTATCCTGCTAGCAGGGACTGTGGATGTCAAGGAGCAGGGGTAGGCTTCACCAACTCCACTGGGCAGTTCCCTGCATATTGACTTCTATATAATTTAGAAGAGAAGCTGAACACCACCTGCATCCCCAATTCTAAGACCAAAATTGTCAAAGCAGAGGACCAGAGGATAGTCAGGCAGAGAGGATACTCTGATCAGGATGGGTCTGCTCACCAGTCTATTTATCAACACTTTTTTGAAGATCATCATAGGCACCTGATGAACTCAGATCTCTTTTGTGGACCTAATCTCTCCCACACCCCCACTTTGTGTCTCACTAAGAGCTCAGGCCACAGAGGCAGAGTTCCTGTTTGAATTCTGCTTCTCTCCCACAACTTGCTGTTTAACATGGAGGATAAATTACTTACCTTTCTGTCTCAGATCCCTCTTCTCTATGATGAGGATTTTCCTACTTTATGTGTCAGGGGCTTGCATTGAGAACTGGATGTTTAACACAAGCAAAGAACTCAGCATTACATCTGGTCCAGAATAAAAACTCTGTGTGTCTTGTCTTTAGATTTTAATATCCCTCTGCCTTAGTGAACACACGTGAGTGATGGTAATTATAGCAGCACCTCTTTTGTGGGATTGTGATGAAGAAAATGAGTTGGTAGAAATGGATGCGAGAGTAATGTCTGGGTCTGTGTTCCCTGAGATTGCTATTGATATTTACTATTCAGCAATTAGATGAGACTCAGTGAATATCCTCTATTACCTTCCAGCATGACTGAGAGGGCAGCCAGGGACAGGATGAGAGGTGAAATCTTTAGTAAAGACCACCGGGGCTAAAAGACTGTATGATCCCCACTGGTGCAAGGGGTGTGGCAGTGACCAGAGGGTCCTAAGAAAGCGTCCTCCTGTGTCTGGCCAATGAATCAGGGTTTGAGAAAAAAGACATCTGTAATAATTCAGGGTCCCCATAGTACTTGGGCTGCAGCCTCAATTGGACAATGGCCTTCTGCCTTTCCTGTAAGTCTAATATGTTTATCATAGTTCTACATTATAGATACAAGGCTGCCTATCTCTTATGCAAATCTAAAACAATAACTTGAAGTCTGACTTTTATAGGGTTTTTCCAAGACTGGCCACCAAACTGTCCTGTAATCCCACCTAACAACATTTCTCAACCTACAGTCCTACTCTCCCCAGTCCTTCAAGGTCACAGGTTGCTAATACAACATGTGACTTTGTCTACCCTCTGTGTGGGGTACTACCTTCCTTCCTCACCCAGTTACAGCCCTTATCTTCTCCGATCAAGCAAAATGACAAAAACTGTATCTCTTTGGCCTCTGTGCCAAGCATTTGGCTACTTTCTGACCACCCACGGTATGTGTAAGGCCCACTTCTTACTGCTCTCTCTTGAGGCATTGGTTACCTCTCTGCAAACCTTTCCTTGATGGTACTTAGCTGTAAGTCTCAGCACTTCTTATAGCCGTAGTGTCACTGAGGCCAAATACACACTCAGGAAATCTTTTTGGAATAAGTGAATGGTTGTGCCTGGACTTATATTAAAATTCAAGAGCTGAAGCACTATAAAAGTTTCCTTTGAGTAAATTGCTAAAGTCAATAGTAGTGGAATTTGTTCTAATTCAGCACATAGCTGGATATCTGCTATGGCTAGGGATTTTAATCATTATTGTAAGCACAAAAAGACACAAAGCAGTTTCTGCTCTCATGGGTATATCTAGTAGGATAAAGTAGGACAAATACCAAAATAATTTCCGTACAAATTGAATGCAGTAAGTGTTTGATATTTTTCCTTTCTTTTCTTTGTCTAATCTAATCTAATTAATTAATTAATTATTGAGTCACTGTGAGATATATACAGTTATAAAACTGTTCATGATAAGGTTTAAGTCATACAATGATCCAACAACCATCCCTCAACCAGTGTCTATTTCTCATCACCAATGATCCCAGTTTCCCTCCCATTACCCGTATTCTCAGCCTGCTTTTATGGCAGACATGTTCCTTCTCTCTCCCTCTCTCTCTCTCTCTCTCTCTCTCTCTCTCTCTCTCTCTCTCTCTCTCTCTCTCTTTCTGCCTGAGATTCTTTTCTGAAACCACCAGTCTGTCACTAAGTGATTCTGTAGTAATCTTCCCAGAAAGTCTAAAGTCCTTGGGGAGTTTGGGACTTCCTGGGTGCACTGTTGTTTCTTCATTGCCCAATGCAGAACCATTGCTGAGTGCAGGACATTGAAGATCCAATGACTATTTGGCTCATGGATTAATGCCTTGAGGGAGATAATGTGCTATAGAACTGCAAAGGTGGCTGTTATCATATGTAAGAAGGAGAAGCAAAGAACTTCATTAAAAACAAAAGTAATTAGAAGTCCAGAAGACCGGGAAGACTGAGTTTGAAAGGAGGAGATGACAGACCTGAGAAGAAACCAATGGAAGAAATCTTGTTACTCATTTCATACTACCTTGTCAGGGTTAGACATTGTGGTAGGCATTAGGGGATGGACAAAGTGGGTTTAGTCTCTTCCTCCCAGGAATGTGCTGCCTGTCACAGTCTGTCATAAAAATGACATAGATGAATAGATCTTCACATTTGTTTCTAGTAGTTTTGGAGGCTGAAAATGCCAAGATTGCACAGTGGCAGAGGAGATAAGGCTGCTTTCTGGGGTCTCTTTTATAAAGGCACCAATCCTACCCATGAAGTCTCCATTGTCACATCTATAACCTTCCAAAGGCCTCACCTCTTAATACTTTACCTAGGGAGTTTGGTTTCAACGATTAAATTTTGGAGATACAAAACATTTTGTGATAACACAGTCTAATGGGCAGACAGAATAAGATCATGATGACTTCTCAATGCTTTATCTGAGTAAAGAACTGATCAGATCCTAAGATTAATTGTTCCTTTGTACATGAAGGGAGAAGGAAATAAAAATTTTTCTTATGGCTTAAAAAAGAAATATTTCAAATATTTGTGTATTTAGAGAATATAAGAGAGGAAGCCTGGGTAATTGTTAGAGGAAGTGAGAAATGAGAGAAGCCAGATTTTTTTTAAATTATCTGCTTTTCCTGAATACTATTTATAAAATAGAAACTTCACCCCACCCAATACCTTCTAGATGCCTTTATCAAATTTTGTTTATAATCATCACTCCCAGTCAGCATGTGTACTTACTTGTGGTTATTCTTGTGTTTATTTTTTGCCTCCAACATATACTCTGGGTCTCTTATTCATTACTGTGTCTGACAGATAGTAGGTGCTTGGTAAGGATTAATGAAATGAATTAATGAATACATAAAGAATATTTAATTATGTGTCTTGCTATGGATTAAATGAAATCATTTTTAGATTCTTCCTTTATGTTTTTTTTTGCTGATTTTTTGTTAGATATGAAGCATGATGACAGCATAAACCTTTCTGTTATTTCTATCACAAATATTTATTATTCTTTCCTCAGACTAGGTTGCATATAATCAAGGTTTGTAAGATACATTTTTATAACCTGGTTTTAAAAAAGGAGGATAGTTCCAGAGTAACAATACAAACATTGGAGGGATCCAGGATGGGTTCCTCCATAATGCAGGGAGGAAAGGAAAGTTGTGGTCAGTGAACAGCAATCCTGGATAAAAAGGGAGGGAAGGACTAGGACTCTTCCACACCATGGGTTTTATCTCAGAGGTTATTAACAATCATAAAGGAGGCTGGCAAGAACATGAAATGATTGATGCTCTAGAATGCCCTTTGACACCATGTGAAAGAAGAGGTAAAGAGGTGAAATTTGAATAGTGGACTGAAATAGAATCCAACGTGATCTGAGAACATATTCCTGATCTGGGGAGTCTTGGGATCTGTGTGAGTAACCTGGAAACATAGCAAAGAAAAACAGTCATAGCTGTGTGCTGTGTGCCTATTGCTACAGAAAGGAAGGCAGATAGATATTTGAGACCTATAAAGTATGAATATCTGGCAGGCATCGTAGGCAAAACATCAGCTGGTATGGATGACTGGAGCTTAGAGAGGTGAGTAGGGATAAAAATATAAATATGGGAGTTTTGCTCAAAATGTTAAACCCATAGGCAAAGATGAAATAGCCTAAGAGAAGTAACAGGGAGAGAACAGAAGAGAATTGGCAGTGTGCATGTACGTGCATGTGTGTGTATGGGTGTGTGTGTGTGTGTGTGTGTGTGTGAATCAATCACATAGAAGTTGGAAATAGGATTAAGACCCAGCAGTGGAGATTGAGATGAAGAAATAGAAAATCAAGCTTAAGGAAACTGAAAAAAGAGAGTGTTTTGAGAAGGTGAGTTTGGTCAGACAAATAGAATGCTAATAAATAATTAACCAAACTAACAACAGAGATATCCCCTTTGAATAATGGCATCTGGGAGCCACTAGTGACCTTTCTGAAGTAAGGGGGAAAGTGGAGGCATTAGTCAGAGGGTTTGGAGGGAGCCAGAAGTGAAGTTTTGGAGCCAGAGGGTGCTGTGCTGATAATGTATTCTAGAAATTGGTTTACAAATAGGAGGGGGGTCTGTACTAGAAAGATTAGAGTCAGCAGAGGGTTATTTTAAATATGAGAAGTAATCAGTGCGGATTTGTTAGTGGGAGAGGGAGGTGTGTGTGTATGTGTGTGTGGGGGGGAGTGTGTGTGTGTGTGTGTGTGAGAGAGAGAGAGAGAGTTGAATAAAAGTGAAAGTGGAAGGGAGGAGCTATCCCTAAAAGCCATGGCCTTGAAAAGGTGAAGGATGAGATCCAGAAGCCAAGAAGGATGTATGCTCCCTATGAAGTAACAGGGAACACATGACAAGGAACACAATCTGTGGATCTAGTGGAGGGAAAGTGAGATTTTTCATGTTCGATGGGTTTTATCTTCTCAGCAGAATACAAAGTCAGATGGAAGAAGGGGAAACAGATTGGGAGAGAGAGAAGATGAAATCCTCATATTTAGGATGAAGAAAATGATCTTACTAATAAAACAAGACAAAGAAAACAACAACAACAAAACCCTCCACCAAACTGCAAGAATATATTGTACAATTAGTCTTTGGATACTGTTAATGTGAAGTGAACTCAGTCAGCCTGAGTGTGCAAATTTCTTCAAGCAATTTTCAGTCATACCCATTACTCCTGGCAGGAAGAGAGGAGCTGTCAGTTTTCAAATGTGTCAAAAGAATCACTAGAGTGGTACGAAAAGATTTAGAGTATTTGATTATCTTAGAAAACTCCAGTGGGGTAGCATAATAATATCATAGATGGGATAGCTTATGAATAGCAAAAACATTTCTCACAGTAGATGCTAGAAAGCCAAATTTGGTGAGGTGCCTTTTCTGGACTCCCAGTTGCATCCCAAGATGATAGCCAATAGAAAGTGGAAGCAAGCATTTTTGTGACTCTTAGAATCTATTCATGAAGAGTTCACCTCATAACTATCTAATCTCAGTTATACCCCATCTCCAAATATTATCCCACTGATAGATACCATTTCAACATATGAACTTTGGAGAGATATTTTCAGTCCACAACAATAAGCAAGATTACCAAGGACTGTTGAAAGTATGTGTCTGGGCAGACAGGGAGAAGAGTGAACTGAGGCCCATGGAGAGAAGTGAACTGTGATGAGTTGGGCTGAGGAATCCAGAAGAGATGATGAGACCACAGTCTTAACAAATGACCTAGTAGCCTTTTTGTGTGTGTGTGACCAGGGCCAACAGATATCTGAAATTAAGTGGGATTCATCTCCCTGGTCTCTGGGATGGGTGTGGGCTACAGGGATCACAGGGCCTTCATCCTTAGATTGTTACTGGGCATGTTTTAGCTTCCCAGAGCCTGACACAACAGAAAAGCATATTGTGGGCGAAGTCTTAAATGAATCTGTGTGTAGGTTGGCACATGGACTGTGGCTTGCCTGAGGAGCTGTGGCTTCCCCTTGAAACTGAGGCTTCCCCATGAAGCAACAACATTTATGGGATGCTATGAATGTCAGTTCCAACAAAGAAAAAAGACAAAGAGTGCTCTGAAGCATAGGAGAAACCCAGAGAGTGTGGCGTTTTGCAAACACAAGAAAGAGAGTCAGGAGGGAGTAGGGCCTCCAGTAAGGTCAGCGTATACAAGTGCAGAAATATGGACAGTGGTAGGAAACAGCCAGAGAAGTTGATTTTTCCCTTTTCTTCAGAAGTGAGGAAAAGTGAAGGAAGTGAAGGAGGCAGCAGCTAAGAGCAGAGTTTTCAAATGGGGCTGACAAAAGGTGCTGATATGAGCAAACAGGTAAAGGAAAATAGTCCTAACAGTTCATTCACAAGTAAACTTTTGTGTGTTTTAACCTTTCAGATAATGGCCTTTCTCCTGAGGAAGAAAACTTTTCTCCTGAATTATCGCATCTTCCAGCTTATTCTCTCCATTGCTGGCACTGCTGAGTTGGGTTTTGGGTCATCTGCTATCACCAATGTTGGGGTCTTTCGGCATATACTCTGCAATTTTGAGGTAAAATGGGAACTTGTCATCAGCCCTAAGTGTGTATGTATGTGTGTGTATGCTTGTGTGCTCACACACGTGCGAATGCATTCATGTTTGTGATGTTCAATTCTGGAGCTTCCTCTAAACCCAACAGGTCAGCTTTTTATCACAATTATGATGATAGTCAGAGAGAAAGCCACAAAGATTCTGGAGCTCAGAGGTACTGGTTTATAATGAAATGCTACCTCAATGAATTGCCTCAGGCAAGCTTCATGACTTACAGAGCTCTGGTATGCTGTGTAAAATGTAGGCGATCACCTAATATTGTAAACATTACCCCACTTTTTTCCTGAATAAGTTATTCCCTTAGCTGAGCTGGTGTTTTTAGACCTGAACTTAAGAAAAGAAACAACTAATTTTTTTTAAAAAAAAAAACCCTGCGGAAATAAAATAAAGCAAAATAAAATTAGGTATAAGAAAATTTAAAGATTAGGATGAGAGAAGATGAGAGAATTGATTTCCCCCCCCCCCCCGATAACTTCTTAGATCAAGTAAAATAAGGGAAAAGATAGTTGAATTCAGAGGTCAATTGGAGCTTTTCAGCAGACCTACTTAAATGTGAACAGTGGTGTGAGAATGTGGGGAGGAGTAAGAGGGGAGATTGAAAATAGAAACACAGAGATTTTGAATAACTAGGAGGAAAATATAACTTATAGAAAAATTGTTGAAATAGTACATATGAGCTTGACTGTAAGATGATGAAGCGGAAGTGATGGAAAATGGATGGTTAAAATACCAGTGGAAAATCAACTACATGGGACTAGTTCTTAGAGAAGAGGAAAGTTTTTAAGACAGGAGTATGGGTTAGACCTTTCTGTAAGGGAATTTAGTGGTCTCAAAATGACTCATATAACCCAACCCACTCTAAAAATCATCAAACCAAGAGGTCTGAAGCACTGTGTTCACTTTAAGAACACTCATGAAGTTGCTCAGGTCGGCAAGGGCACTGTAACCCAACGGCCACCAAGTAGCTAAAGGATTTACCTCTCTAGAAGCAAAGTATGCCATTCCATCCAACAGTTGTGGAGTTTGTAGGGATACCCAGGCTGAATAATGGGGTTGGACCCCAAAAGTCCTGAATTAGCATGGTTCCCTGTTTAAAAATGCAGTCATACCGAATTTACAAGATTTAGATATTGATTCTCTGTCAATGAGTATATTCAGGTGAACAAAGCCCTATAGATACACCAGAATTTACAGAGATTATGGTCTCATTAATCCCTACATGCGTTCACCCTGCTATATTGAACTGATCTTTGCTTTAAAAAAAAAGAGATTATTTACAAACCTGAAAAGGAGATTGAACAGTAGAAACAATAACAACCCCCACCCCACCCCCAACATAAAAAGTGCTACCTGGGGATAAATTAGGCGGCAGAGATGGGGATGAACAGAATGTGGGTTGAACCTTTCCTCTGGGAAGGCTCGTCTATGTCTTGTTCAGGATTGCTGAGTGGATCCTTAAGCCTGTAAATATTAATGATTTTAGGCCAAGGGACATTATGTCCAGCACCCTATCTACTCACACTGCCTGGTAAACCTTCTTCATATGCTTCTTTGATTTCATGATGTGTTTGTTCTGTCTTTTAGCTCTGGATGAACACTGTGGACAACCTTGAACTCTCCCTCTTTTCTCATCTTGCGGAAATCCTTCGATCACCAAGGTATGCTGAGCTCTAGTGGCCAGAGAGCTTAGAACTAAAGGCTTCACACCAAGATGAGGAGTAAGTGGGCAGGATGAAACAAGGTTTAGCAGCAAAGCTTCTTCCACCTCCCAGAGCACTGTCTTCTTAGGAAGAAGCATTTCTGTCTCAAACTATTCATCTGCTCTAGCAAAAATATCATAGACTTGGGGGCTCATAAACAATGGAAATTTATTTCTCATGGTTTTGGAAGCTACAACTCTAACCTCCAGACTAGTTATTTCAGAGTCTGATGAGAACCTGTTTTCTGGTTGAGGGATTGTTGACTTTTCACTCTAACTTCCCATAGTGGAAAGACTGAGGGAGGTCTCTGAGGCTTTTTCCATGAGGATGTTATTCTTTTTTGTTTGTTTTTTTTGTTTGAGGGCCACATATAGCTGTGCTCAGGACTTAATCCTGGCTCTGTGCTCAGGGATCACTTCTGGTAGGGATTAGGGTAAGCTGCATGCAAGGCAAGTGTATTACTTACTTACTGTGTTATCTCTTTGGCCCATTCTTACTGTGTGGTGGACGGGGGGCAGGGGGGCAGTGGCAAAGATGTGCTCAGGAGGCCCTGAATTCATTTCAGGTGATACTTGGCCAGCCAATCAAATAGTTCAATGCTTAGGTGCTCAAGGTGCTCAAGGACCACCAATGCTACACCCAGCAGTGTTTGAGGTTTATATATTGCTGGGGACCAAACTCAGGGCCTATGCATTAAAGCCATGTACCCCTGGTCCTGGTGTCATTTTCTCACCCCCTAATTACATTCTTGAGGGTTCTCCCCTCATGACTTCAGCATCACCCAAAGCCTTCATCCTCCACAGCTCATTCACTTCATTAATGTGACATGTTAAACATTGTAAATGTAAATATAAATGTAAAATGTAAAATGTTAAGTAAAACATTAAAAATTAGGTTTCAGCATATGAGTTTGGATGGGTCTATAGAAAAGTCTTTTCCAGGGAAGGACCTATATCTTCTGATGGTTTGGGTCTTGGAAGAAGTTTCTTTAATTCTGGCAAGTTTTTCTATTAGTTTCTCAGGGGCTTGGTAAGTGTAGCCAACATGGAAAAACACATCTTCGTGTCCCATTGACAACTAAACACTCCACCACCACTACCCCACTAAATTCTCCAAGTCACTTTCTAAATTAGCATTCTTTTGGTTGCAAGCAGCAGAAATGTAACTCAAAACAATTTAAGAAGAAAAAAATAGGAGGGAAAGAGAGAAGGAGAAGTAAGGGGAGGAGGGAACTTTGATGGATCATACAGGTGAATAGGGCAAATCTTCAACATGGCTGGGTGGGGCTCACAGAATTTTAATTGGGATTTACCACAATCTTTACTTTCTTCTGCACTGACTTATTTTGGTCGATTGTGGCAGCAGAGTGACTGCTGCTGGGTGACTCTTCAGCAAGTGTTTCCCACTCCTCAAAATCCTGAGAGGCTTCATTTCACCCTGTAAACCTGGGATGGGGCAAGAGTCGCTGGCACCATCTTGGGTGGTCCAGAGCATCAAGTCCTTTCTAGGGTGGGCTGAGGGAAAATAGAAAGAGTTAATAATTAATTTCCAAAGAAAGCAAGAGGCTGTGATCAAAATAAGGTGAAGCGAGGTAGGGAAGCCAACATATCCACCCACCTGTCTCCTCATGGGTCCTAGCCATCACTGGCACCTTTGGGGTCTTGAATGTGTTCTAATCTCTTCATTCAGTCACTCACAGGCAGCTCCTAGTGCTGCAAGTTTAGAGAACAGGGCATGGTTCTATAGAGAAAGGAAATAAGCTTGTTTAGAGTACATCTGAGTACCCCACAAGGAAGGAGGGAAAGACAAAGGGAGTGAGTGAGTGAGGGGAGGGGAGGGAGCAAGAGAGTAAGGAGGGAGGGAGAGAGGGAGGGAAGGAAGGAGGGAAGGAAGGAGGGAGGGAAGGCAGGAGGGAGGGAGGGAGGGAGGGAGGGAGGAAGGAAGGAAGGAAGGAAGGAAGGAAGGAAGGAAGGAAGGAAGGAAGGGTATAAAGAGACAGCAAAAGCCTACACAAGCATTTTCCCTATTGAGCTGATGAATACAAGTCACACAAGCAAGAACTAGGCAGGTTCTTGCTCTTTTGTATATTATGAAGGTGAAAGTAAGTATGGAACAACTCACCCCAGTCCATTCTCCTTTAACTTTTTTTTTCTTCCCTGCAGTCCACTTTCTTTATGTACCTGTTGTTTTCTAAGAGACGATCTGGGTACCCTGGGAGCTGTGCTCTTTTGGGGGAGTAGACTTTACTGGAAATCGGATTTGTGATTGTCTTAAGGAGGGGGTGGGTTGTGGATGCCTGAATTCTGTCTTTTTCCCCTTTGACTCTCGGCGGCCGGCGTGCTCATCCACTTTGTGGTTTGGGGCAGGCAGGAAGAGCGCACACCCAGACAGGCTCACCGAGGGCAGCGCTCCCGGCTGTTGGGAAGTGCTCCGTGGTTACACACTAGTCTGCTCTTTTGATTCTGAGTTTTTCTGAGACCAGCATTACTTTTCCCTGAGGCTTCAAATTTAAAAGTCAATAATTGGGGCTGTCTTTGAAGGCGGTTTCCGGGGGTTGGAGGGTGGAAGGGCACGGGAAGCTCATCCCTTGTGACTCTGGCACTTGGTAGACACATATTCAATGAGCGTCTGACAGCATTTTGATGAGTTGCCAAGAGATCTTCGCAGTTGAGGACCATGGAGCAAGCCCAGCCTGGGAAACCTTTTTAGCAGAAACACAGCAAATTTGGTTCATTCCAGTAAAAGCTTTTATTGTCTCTCTCTTGGGCTCACCAGGGAAGGACCTCGGAATGCTGAAGTTGCGCATCAGGTACAGCTCATACCCAAGCTCATCTTTCTCTTCAATGAGCCAGGCCTCACCCCTTCCAAGATCCCCACCATTATAGCCATCCTAGGCTGCCAGCTGAGAGGTCATTTCAGCATCCAGGACTTTCTCAGGTAATGTATTAAGCTTTTGTGGACAAGAGTAGGACTATAGGATTACTTTGCAAGGGAAAACTGTCCCCAACTCTTTCATGCAGGCACTCAATCCTTTAATGCAGAGACAGACCATTTCCTTGGAATCCCCCAAGGAGGTTCTGTTTAGGGCCAAGAGTTGAGAGGAGGGTTACTCTACTCCCCAGAAGACTGTGTTCCCTGGTGTTTGGCACTCTCTTGAACCAAGAATTAAAGAATGTCTGTGAACCCAGCCATCCTCACCAGCTGAAGACCCAATGTCTATCTTGTTCAAATTTTCCAGATGTCAGTCCCAGCTGGCATACCACGTAGCCATTTCATTATCATTGCTATCTTTTCTCAGTATGTGACAGAACAGAGCCAGAGTGGCTCTTATGAATCCTGATAGATCTGAATGGTCTCTGGAAATATTGCCTTGATTGTACAATAGTGCAAATCTTCTCATGCCCTCCATTGAAGCTACATTTGGGTGTATCTGTATAGAAATCTTCAGATGTGTTCTGTAGACACAGGTTGAGTGGAAATTGAGCATATACTTCTCTCCGTGTATGTGTTAAGAATTGGACTATTTGTTATGTACACCCTGAAGCCTTCATCCGTGAATGAGAGGCAGATCTGCGTGGATGGAGCCGTGGACCCCTCCGTGCCTGGTGAGATCTTTCTCAGATGCCAGTCTGATGACAGCAGGATGACCCTTATGGCACCCCTGAGAGGCAGTGTTGTGGGGTCATTTTTGCAGAGTGAATTGTGGGGTGGGGGCTGGCAAATAAAGGGAAAAGCAGTCACAGCAAAGCAGTTGATCCCAAATGAAGCATATGAGGTGATAGGTCTTTTGAAGCGACAAATAAAGTCTTATTGTAGATCCTTCCTTCACAACCTAAGACAGCTTCCAAGGCCTCTGGGTTGATTCAAGTCCTTTCATTCTCTAGCTCCTGCTCACCCTTCTGGGTGAATCTCCCCTACTCACGCTCCCCAAGTACACCCCAAATTTAGCACTGAATCATTTGGTGTCCAATGTGTAATGATCTGCTACCCAGTCATGATCCATACATGTTATTTTCCCTGTAGGAATGCTCCCTCTGCCCCATCACACCTCCTAGACACCCTTCATTTGACTAATTGTACCTTATCTTACCAAACCAAGTCAAATGATATCCTCTGTGTTTCCAGATTCTCCAGAGCTAAAGTCTAGGTGTGTGATTTGTTTCTTGGAGTCTCTCCCAAACTACACAAGGAAGTGTGCTCTGCATTGTTCAGTTGCTATATCGTACTATAGATTCCTCTCTCAGAGTACTTGTGACTAGAACCATTTTTAAAAAATTTTCCTGGGCCCTCCAAATCTGTCTTGTCCAAGAGGGAGAGCCTCTAGCCCCAAGTAGCCACTTAACGGTACATTTAAATTGATTACAATCAAATTCAATATAAAATACAATGAATTAGTTATATTTGCTACATTCAAATGCTCAACAACCACATGAGACTAATGGTTAACTGAGTTGAATACAACAGCTATAAAGCATTATTTTTATTGTAAAAGATTATCTTGGACAGAATTACTTAAGCAGATACATTTTCCCTTTTCCTTAGACCAATCCTGAAATTTCAGTTTCATTTTGCAGATATGGAAACTGAGGTGCAGAAAGATTCAGATCCTAGCAATTCAAGTAGAGAAAGGTCTGACTCTACTTCTCCAGTTTCTTTAATCAGTCCTCTGGGTTCTGAATTGGTTGTAGAATGACCAACCACTTTAATGAAAAACTGGTTTAAGAGCCAAACAGGAAACTGACATAGACAGCCTTGCTTTTTCAAAGGACTCCATTCTGTAATTTTTTATCTATATTAAGACAGAAATAGCATTCCTTTAGGGATACCTTAATACTTAAGAAATAAAGTTTCTTTTCCTGGATTTATGAACCCCTTGCCATGACTCATGCTCTGGTTTAATGCAATGCGGACATGCTGGCAGCTTCATGAAAGTAAATTGAAAGCAGAAGAGAGATGGAGTCTTCCACTCCTCAACATTTGCTCTCAATGTCTTGCATAATACTCAAATGTACTCAAGAAATGCTGCCTCCTATGATCACTTCAAAATATTTTTCTGCTGGAGATAAATAGGATCTTATCATTTTCAAGATCTGGGGTAAAATGGGGAGCATTGAAAACATTTCTAGTTAAGGGGAACTTTAGGAATATTTCCTGAAATTCTTTTTAAGCATCATTTGAAGTCTAGAATTGAATGCCAATTTTTTGGGTCCCATATATACCCCAGTTCCTGGGTGAATGCAGCATTTGGTGAAAATGATTGCTTGCTGCAGCAAATATTATGTCTCTTTACATCCGTTTTCACTCAAAACTGAATTTGCTTTTTGTGTAGCTGGAAGTCAAACATCTGGAAAGACAATCTGGCTCCGAAACCAGTTGCTGGAGATGATGCTCAGTGTAATATCTTCCTCCCAACTTCATTTGTCCTCTGAGTAAGTAGCTCCAGGAAGAGCGATTTGGCACACTCATACAGGGTGCGGTATTAAAACCTTTCTTAATGAAAAGTTTAGTATCTCTGAGTTAGTTTTCTGCACTGTGTTTCCTGCACTAGTCAGAAGGAAAATTGTGTTTTCTCCACCCAATAAAGCAGACCTTGCCCTAAGATATTCTGGTGCAAAGCTAAATGGGTGCGTGTAACTAGGAGCTGGTTTTGTATAATGACAATAAACTACTTTTGTTGCCAATGCTATCATGTAATTGTTATTGTTCTGGCACTTGTGACATTACTGATTTTGATGTCCTATACTTGGAACATACCAGAATGGAGAAATGGCTGGGCTAAAAAACATCTATCAAGGAAAAGGCTTGCCAAATTCTCCTGCTATTTACTGTTAGTTATTTAGTTCTTTTTTCCAAGTTGGAGAAAGAAGTATCTGCCTTCAATTAATTTTTAAAAACAATGTGTTATGTAAAATTCCATTGACTCCCACTGGCTCCTTGCTTTACCTGTAACCCTAAAGTCACTTGCTGAGTAACAACTTGTTAAGCATCTACTGTGTGCCCAAGGGCTGGAATGATAGCACAGTGGTAGGGCGCTTCCCTCATGTGCAGCCGGGCTGGCTGAGCCGAGTTCGATTCCTCCACTCCTCTTGGAGAGCCCGAAAGCTACTAAGAGTGCCTCGCCTGCACAACAAAGCCTGACAAGCTACCTGTGACGTATTCAATATGCCAAACACAGTAACAACAAGTCTCACGATGGAGATGTTACTGGGCCCGCTTGAGCAAATCGATGAACAACGGGAGGACTGTGACCGTGATGTGCCCAAGGAAATTTCTACTTCTGAGAGTACAGCGCTAAGCAAGAACACCTAAATGCTTTTTCTTGCTGAGTTGGCATTTTAGTGAGTGAGTGTATTTAGGGAAGGAAATAGTGAGAATGGGGAATTTCCCCTTCTCAATAAAGCAATATTGCAAATACTGTTACAATTTACTGGCTGGAGTCTGGCATATTGTACAGTGGCTAATGTGTGCACAGTCCCAGTTAGAGCCTCTATACTGCATGGCATCTCTGAGAATAGCCATGAAGTTCCTGAGCACCTCCAGGTGTGAGCCTGGTTCTTCTCTGACACTGTGGGGTCAAGTAGCATGCAGGGGCTTGAGTAGTATCATATCACATTGACCCATTAGGTCTGGTTGGTCAAATGTAATCAGGAAATGACCCGAGGGCCACTTGAGCACTTCTTCGGAGGTCTCTCCTCCTCCCTCCCCAAACCACCAGTCCTTTCTCCATTCTGTGATCATTACTTTGTTGTCTCTGATATCAAAACATGATAGAACTTGAAGATGTCTCGGAGATCTAGTCGAACTAGATCAAACTCTGGGTGTTGACTTCTAGACCTCCTGGGTTAAAATTCCATCTCTGCTCCCAAGTACTGTGGAGAGTCAACTTAAGTTCTCTATGGCTCTGAAATTCCTTTATCAGATGATAAAGAGTAGAACCTGTAACAGATAGAAAGAGACTTTTCATGGACAGCGTGAGCATAGTGCCCAAAAGAGTGGAAACCCTCTGCAAACAAGCTGCTATTGCCATCGCTGCCATCATCACCACCACCCTCCTCATTAACACAGAGAAAAGAAACTTGAGCTCACCAAGAGCTGCTCTGGAGCCGTTGGTTAGCCAACACTGGAGACAGGACTGAAAAGGAAGACGGTTTGTTGACTTCTAGTGCTCATACCCTCATCATGTGAAGCCTGGCAGCTGAATTTGAGACTCTGTCCAGCATGGATAGATCTTTCCCTGACTCTCAGGAGTCTGTGTCTTTTGCTCATTCCAGTTCACTGGTTTCCCACCTCCCTCTAGTATTCTCTGGCAAGACTGTGGTCTTCAGTATCATCATTTTAAAATTTAATCTTGAAAGAGACAGTTAATCACATATTGTTTTACCTAAACTGAAAAAGGTGCATGCAGATTAGAATAGCCATTTAGGATAGTTTTGACCAATATACTTTAAGAAGTGGGTACATTACCACCATTTTTTTTGTCACAGCATCAATGTACCAAGATGGATGGTAATTCAGACACCATGTGTAGATGAATATTTTTTGAGCAGGACTATCCAAGGGCTCATGCGTTTTAAAATCAATTAATGCTTTGAAAAGTTTTGACCAACCTATAGTTCAGTCAGTGAAAGACAAGTCTATCTGCTTTGTAGTCATCTTGTCAGCATTTTATTTCCCTATTTTTTTTTAAAAAATACTGTGTGCTTCACTAAGTGATAGCTAGGAATTAATGTCAAAGTCTCCACATTTTCCGTGCCTTCTGTATTTGCCAAGAAGATATGGTTTCTTTTTTTTTCTTTTCTCTATCTATTTATTTTATTTTGTTTTATTGAATCTCACCATTCTACAAAGAAGTAATCATCCATATCAAGAGAGGGGTTCGGCAGGGTGATACCATTTCACCAAAACTCTTCAGTGCCACCCTCGAGAACATCATGCGACGACTAGAATGGGAAAACATGGGAGTGAAGATAGATGGTTGGCAACTACACCACCTCCGCTTTGCTGATGACATCGTTCTAATAACACCAAACATCAGCCAAGCGGCACAAATGCTGGCCGACTTTGACCGTGAGTGTGGAAAGGTCGGACTACAGCTGAATCTTACGAAGACAATGTTTATGAGAAACAGCCTTGTTCCTGACGCTCCATTCGCTCTCAACGGAACCACCATCTCCGAATGCAACAGTTATATATACCTAGGTCGAGAAATCAACATGATGAATGACCTGGCACCTGAGTTGCGCAGGAGGAAGAGAGCGGCTTGGAATGCCTTCAAGAGCATTGAAGAAATAACTAAAAGGACAAAGAACCTCCAGCTATGAGCACATCTCTTTGATTCCACTATTCTTCCTGCATTAACATATGCCTCAGAGACCTGGAGCCTACGAAAACAGGATGAGAACGCTATTCGGGTCTCTCAAAGAGGAATCGAAAGAACTATGCTTGGAATATCTCGATTCACTCAAATGAGAGATAGAATCCGGAGTTCTGATCTTCGTCAATGCTCAAGAATCAGGGACGCTGTCTCATTTGCCAAGACATCAAAAATCAGATGGGCTGGACACGTAATGAGGTTTACAGACAACCGCTGGACTAGAGCCATTACTGATTGGATTCCACGGGACATCAAAAGATCACGTGGATGTCCACCTATAAGATGGTCAGACTTCTTCGTCAAGACCCTAAATGATCGGTTTGAGGCTCTGCATGTTCCTAGAACAAACAGATACCATTGGGCTACGCTAGCACGCATGAATGGAGACGTTACTGGCACCCGCTCGAATAAATCGATGAATAACGGGGATTAAGTGATTAAGTGATTAAGAAGTGATTATTGAATCACTGTGAGATACAGTTACAAAGCTTTCATGATTGAGTTTCGGTCATACAATGTTCGAACACCTATCCCTCCACCAGTGTGCATTTTCCACCACCAATGTCCCCAGTATTCCTTCCACCACCCCCACCCCATCCCACCCCCTCTGTGTCAGTCACCTTCCTTCTTATTCTCTCACTACTTTTGGGCATCATGGTTTGCAACACAGATATTGAGAGACCAAGAGGAGATGGTTTCTTGTCTTCACTGACATCTGCCCCCATCCCTCATCTCCAGGTCAAAGGAAGAGCTCTTCCTGCATCTGGGTCCTGACTGGTTCCTGCTGCTTCTGCAGGGCCACCTGCACTCCAGCACCACTGTGTTGGGAATGAAGCTGCTGCTGCACTTTTTATCCAGCCCATCCCTGCGTGTGCGGTTCAAAGATGGACTGCCTGTGGGATCCTGGGTGGAACACAGCTCCAAAGGCATAGACATCATGATGGGTGAGTGTGCATCTACTTCCAGGAGGCAGGGTGCTACCTCATCGGGAGCTGTGAGTGAGAAACTGCTGAGCATCTCTCCACATGCATCTTCAAAGCTCTCTGCAGTAGGTTGTCCTGCCCTAAATAGTGACCTGCCCTAGAGGAGGATGTCTGTGACCAGAGAGGTTTGCAGATTCCTCCTCCTTCCCAGATCACAAATGACCTCTCTGCTCTGCAGACATGAGGGGCTTCTTTCCATTCCTGGACATTGCAATCCTAATTTTCCTTTCTCTGTGGTGTCCTTTTAACCCCCAACCAATGAGGCCAGTCTGTTTCTCCTGATTGATGTGTTTCCCGTTTTAGGTCTTATTTCAAATGCAACTTCTTGCTGGAGAGGTGGGTCCTGCCTGAATATAAGCACTCTGTTATACCATTTATTTATAGTATGTATTGCAGTCTACAAGCATACACTTGTTGGTGTATTAATGGCTTCATGTTTGACTCTCCCAGCATAGAAATATAAAGGGACACTCTAAAATGGCTTGGGGTTCTGTATACTTTGTGGGAACACAATACGTTAAGTATCTATCACCTATATTTCTACTAGGTGAGTGTCAATTAAAAGCATAAGTGATTGCTTGAATGAACAAATAAATGAGCATGTGAGGAATAAGGAAGTGAATTCTTGTGCACATGAAAGTATGACATATACTTATCTCCAGAATTTTTCTGAGCTGGGGAAGTGATGGGGCTTAGCCTCATGTCCACAAACCCCACTTTGACCAGAAGCAATGGCTGTTGTTCTCAACTAGACTTTGTACGCCCTCTATTCCATCAATAGATAACCTGAAGAACTCCACTCTCACACCTGACCAGAGCCCGTGCCTGCTTCCTGGGTTCAAAGTCTTGAATGACTTTCTCGCCTACCACATTCATGTTCCAGAAGTCTACCTCATCGTGTCTGCCTTCTTCCTACAAACGTCACTCACAGAGCTGATGGATGGGCCCAAAGTAGGTGCACGCAGTGCTCCCAGGATGAAGGGACACGTTTGATTTCCTGATTTCATGTGACCAAGGCTGTTCCCTAAGACTTACCTCCTCCCGCCCATTTCTCCCTGCTTAAGTGCTTCACAGCTCCACGTAGCAGGAACATGCTTTCTTCCACTCCTCCCAGCTCCTGTTTTGACCCTCTTCCTTCTTTGCTGCCCCATGTTCTTCCACCAGCTCTTCACAGCTCTTCACAGAGCCTCAATCAAATTTTTAGAAAAACTGTGCCCATTTTCCTTAGTAATGCATGCCGTTACCTTATATCTAAATGTAAACTTACCTACTCTGGCTTCCTTTGCAGCATGACTCCTCTTTGTTCAAAGTGGGAATGAAGGTTGATCATTTTTTTTTGGTGGGGTATACCTGGTATGATCAGGGCTTATTCCTGACTTTCACTCAGAAATTACTCCTCAGAGTCCTCAGGGTACCATATAGGATGCTGGGAATCAAATTTAGGTCAGCCGCGTACAAGGCAAGTACTGTACCTGCTGTACTATTTCTCTAGCCCCTGAAGGTTGACCATAGATAGGTCTCATACCCACAAATCAGTTTCTTTGCATTGGTGCTAGCAGTGTTTCCGCTGTTTCTTTTTGAGTGACTGTTGCCCCTCAGTCCCCCTCATTCCCTTCATTTTTCTCTTTCAGATCTCTTTCCACAGCTTCTATCTTCTTAGTGTGATAAACTTATCCCCTTTACAACCGACGCTATCCTTTGACTCAAACATTTCAGGCCTTGCCCTATTTCTCACTCCCTGTCCTTTCTTGGATAATTCTTCAGGGAGGACTCTATACTAATTGCTTATGTCTCCTTAAATCTATTTACGTGCTCACCCAATGAGTGAATCAAGAACCCAATCCTGTGACATTAAGCATATTTCTAATGGGGCCTTTGGCCTGTCTCTCCAACTAGCTTCCTTCCTTTCCAGACTTTCTTGCTTTATATTCTTCAGTCAGCTCTTGAAACAGCAAATCACTTTGTACTCTTTAGTTTACACAATAGAGGAACTTTCTCCCTTTCTCATCAGACTGGGTAGGATTTCTCTCTCAGTACTCAGCTCAGATATCACTTCCTGCTTGGACCCCATTAGAAAGACCCTGTCTTCTGGACCTCAAATACCTTTACCTTGTAATTGAGACATTTATGCAGTTGCTTTCCTCTATAGATACTGAGTACCCCAGGTGCAAGCTCCATCATTTGCTTACCTTCCTTGGTGCTTAACAAAGAGTAGACTCTGGAATTATTTCTGAATTTTAATGGAGTTAAGTTGAATGGAGATATGGAAGTGCCCCTCCATATGGTTTTGCAGGTAGAAGGTAAAAAATTTCACCCCTCTCGCAAATGATTTTATTTGCTGATCTAAATCTATATATTCTCCTAGTCATGGAGATCTCACTTCCAAATACAGTTCTTAATGTGCTGTGCTATGTTCATTGCAGTCTGTATTTTTGATTCTCCAAGACTATAGGGTAGGAAACACATGTCTGCTGAGAGTCAGGACCTGGAATAGACTTTTTACTTCACTTGACATCTTTAACAGTCCCATGGGGTGGATAATGTAATTTTCATCTCACTGAGGAGAAAACTGAACTGCCAAGAGGATGAATCACTTGCGTAGTAATCTCAGCTTTTAAAGAGGCAAAGTCAGGGAGCTGGAGAAATAGTACAGTGGGTAAGGTGCTTGCCTTGCAAGTGGCCAACTAGGTTTGATCCCCAGCACCCTGTATATCTCCCAAGCCCATCAGAAGTGATACCTGTGTGTATCACTGTATCACTGTATCACTGTCATCCTGTTGTTCGTCGACTGCCTCAAGTAGGCCCCAGTAACGTCTCCTTTGTTCTATCCCTGAGTTAAAAAGCGCCACATTCGAGGCTCTTTCAGGGTCAGGAGAATGAGACCCATCATTATTACTGGTTTTTGGCATATAGAATACACCACAGGGAGTTTGCCAGACTCTGCCATGTGGGCAGGATACTTTTGGTAGTCTGCCAGGTTCTCCAGATTTAAAACTAGATAATAAGTATCTTCCAGGAGCAGGGTTTTATAGTCTCTGGGTCTTGGCCATTAATGGGATTACATGTCACCGGGGGCAGTTGGTGGGTGTAATGCCTACATACTGGAAGATGGGGGGGTCTGAGTGGAGGAGGTCCCAGTCCCAATCCGAGCAGGCTTGGAGATCTACGCCCCGGGTCTTGCACACCTGGGTTTCTCAGCCGGTACATTCATGCGTGGGGCTTGTGTGGAGAGTGGTCTTAAGCATGGCTGTGGTTGGAACCAGAAGACCTCTGGTTCCAGCTACCTTGTGTAAAGCCAAGAATATACCCTAGCACTGCCAGATATGTCCCAACTCCATAAAAAAAATAAGAGGCAAAGACAGACACTACCCCCATGCTCTCTCTGCTACTTTCTGCTTCCCTTCAAAGCCTTCCAATACATATGCCCTCTGTCATCTCTTTTATGAAAATGCATTACTGTGGATTGGGTCCATGAGTATTTGTGATGTTTCCCCATCACAAATTACCAGTAGGCATCTTCCTGGGGGTGTGCATCCCTTGACAGCCACTGAGTGGGCTGGGCTGGGATCCTCCTTGGAGGCCACCCAACCCAGGTTGCTGCTATGACAGTTCCCCCCTGGGATACCCTGGGTAATACCATATCTGAGCAGAAAACTATTTCCTGGTTGTAGCCCCAGGCTTCTTTATAGCCCCCAACTCTTCTTTCAGGACAGCCTGGATGCCATGTTCCAGTGGCTTCTGCTGCAACACCACAGGGAAGAAGTACTCCGAGTGGGGCTGTGCACAGAAGGTGCCCTGATGCTTCTGGAAATGCTGAAAGCCACCATGAACCAGGTGAGGCATAATCCTTGTGAGGACCTCTGGATGGGTAGATGTTTGGAATGGTCTCCTTGGCTTTCTAATATTAAGTATGGTGAAGGGCCAGCCTGATTCCGAATGCTGGCTGGGAGAGACCTACTAGACTCCGCGACGGCTTAGGTGCGTGAGGGGAGCACAGCTTCTTGGTCCCCAGTGACGTGTACATGAACTTGCCAAGCAAACTTTTCTTCTTGTTTTCTTTTAAATTTTCTTTTGTGTTTGAAGAATTGCTAAATAATTTTAATATCCTAGCACTCCAGTCTTATTCTGATAGAATAATCTATTTAAATATATTTCATCATATAATTGTCTCAATCTGTTTCTCTCAAATATACTGGCACATATTTTTTGAAAAAGATCTTTATTTGATAGTATTTATTTCCTTGATTTTTTTCTCTGTGTGCTACAAATGAATGAAATCATATGATAGTTTATCCTTCTCACTTTGACTTCACAAAATACTCCGCACTTCGATTGAGTTGCAGCAGACTGTAGCACTGTAACACTGTCCTCAATTTGCTCTAGCGGGTACCAGTAACATCTCCATTGTGAGACTCGTTGTTACTGTTTTTGGCATATTGAATACGCCACGGGGAGCTTGCCAGGCTCTGCCGGGCACCGGGATACTCTTGGTAGCAGCGGACTGTCGATAGCACAGCGGTAGGGCATTCGCCTTACAAGCGGCCAACATGGCTGACCCAAGTTCGATTCCTCCGCCCCTCTCGGAGAGCCCGGCAAGCTACCGAGAGTATTCGGTATGCCAGACACAGTAACAACAAAGTCTCCAATGGAGACGTTACTGGGCCCGCTCGAGCAAATCGACGATCAACGGGAGGGCCTTTAAAAAAATTAAGCTTCATGTAATGATTGCACCCAATATTTACAAAAAATTTTACATAATATCTGAGATGATTATGTGGTGAAATAAGATATTTATTTATTTATTTATCACCTGGAATGGGATATTTTTCTATGCAAGGAGCTTTTCTTTCCATTGATGTAGCTCATTACATGGAATTCTTTATACTGAAACATCCTTGTGTGCTGGAAACAGGCCCTATTTTGACATGATGTATAATTCCTTCAACAAATTGTTGAATTCGGTTTGCTAGAATTTTGTGAAAAAATTTCCACCTGTCTATGTTAAGGATATTGGTTTGTGGCATTTTTGTGGGATGTCCTTATCTGATTTTTGTATCAGGATAATATTGGCCTCACAAAAGTGCATTTGGAAATATTCCCAATATTTCCAAATATTCTATTTTTGGGAATAGATTGAAAATAGTCTTAAATTTTTTTTAAAAGTTTGTGAAAACTGTCTTATTCTACTTTCAAATATCTCATTAATTATTTTGTCTTTGTGGTTATAAATAATCGTAGGCCACAGCTTTCTTTTTGTTAAAGACTTTCAGGTTTTGATAATAGTGTTATGTATGTTATAACATTGTTAAAGATAAAAACTGCCTTTTTTAGATTTACGATTCAAATTCATACTCTTATATTTAAATTATTTCTCTGAAGCATTTTAGGTCTGATTTTTACCTCTGATATTTGTCTTGTTTAAATTTTTTTTTTTTGGTGGGAGACCACCCAAAATGATGCTCAGAGTGCTGAAGGGCACTCCCAACAATATATGGCTAAGTGGGCCAGCAAGTCAGTTCTAGGGCCTGACTTGAGGAGGTGGTGCTATTTGGGCCCTGCCATACTGGGCTGCACCAGGGCTGTAACAGTAGCTTCTAAAGGATCTCCCGGGTCTCAAGTGACATGCTCACAAGGCCATGTGATGCTGTGGATCAATCCCAGGTTGGGCACATGCAAAGCACATGCCCTAACCCTTGTACAATCTCCCTGACCCTGTGTTTCAGTTTTGAAGTGTCTTTGTGACTTTCCTTAATTTAATCTTAAAATAAGTAAAATTCTTCCCATTAATTCAGTTTGTATAAATGGTCTCTTAAATTAATTTTTATGTAAAAATTTTCTTCCTAATATACTGAATTCATAAGTTGAAACTTTCCTACCAAGCCTAGTATGTGGATTGAGAGAACAGATAAACTTTGTTTTTTCCTTTATCATTCTCCAAATTATTTTTTTCTGCCTAGTTCTAATATTTGGATATTTGTTGTTTTCTAGAGTTCCTGTGGCTGTAATTTTAAAGCCCATTAGACTCATATTTTTCAACCTGCATATGGTTGAACTTTTTTTGAGGGCTAGAGACGTGGGCCACATCTGATGATACTCAGGTTTTACTCATGGCTCTGTGTGTTGCTTGGGAGTTCATGTGTTGCCAGGGAACAAAGCTTTAAGCAAGTCCATTAGTTCCTGTACTATTTCCCCAGCTCTGAGGTTTTAAAATTGTTTTCATTTCTAGATTCATTTTGTTGTAGTCAGTGTTTTATTGACATACATTTCATCTTTAAGAAACTTTATTCATGATTACATTATGTACATTATATGTATGATCAATCATAATTAATTTTTGGATGCCTAAAAATATATGTCCATGTCTGTGGCATGGAATTTCATTGCCTTTCATTTCATGTTTTTTAAAAATTTTTATTAGTGAAACACCACGAGGTACAGTTGTAGACTTACAAATTTTTGTGCTTGGGTTTCAGTTATACAATGATCGAGTACCCATCCCTCCACCAGTGCCCATTTTCCACCACCATGGATCCCAGTACCCCTTCCACCCCTCATCCCCCACATCCGACCCTGCCTCTGTGGCAGGGCTTTCTCTTTTGTTCTCTCTTTCCTTATGGGTGCTGTGGTTTGCAAAAGAGGCATTGAGTGGCAATCATGTTCAGTCTATAGTCTACTTTCAGCATGCATCTCCTCTCCTGGGAAGATCCTCCCAACCCTTTATTTGGTGCTTCCTTCTCTATCAGAGCTGCCTTTTTCCCCTAGCATGTGCAGCTGGCCTCCAAGCCATGGAGTGAACCTCCTGGTACTTATCTCGACTATTCTTGGGTGTTAGTCTCTTATTTTGTTACTTTATGTTCCCCAGATGAATGCAATCTTTCTATGTCTTTCCCTCTCTTAGTTAATGTTATTTTCAAACAAAATGAGTAGCATAGAAGCATTAAAAATAAAGAAAATACATAGTCTGCCAAGAGAAGTAAAAAACTAAGACTAAATATTTGCATTATATTACCAAACATAAAATGGTAAAAATTGTGTTTTACAGTTTACTCTTATACTGGGTCAAAACAAACAAACAAACAAACATAAAACCTAATCTGGATTTAGTAAGTACATAACAAAGCTGTATCACTTAAAGATTATTTTGGTTCAATAAAGATAGTTACCATGAAGGCATCCTTCATTAATTATAGAAATAACCATCAAAATGCAAGAGCCCAAAGGGGAGAAAGAGACTAGACTCTTAGTTGTATTGAATAACGCTGCTATATTTCTGTGTATTTTATTTTTTGCTTCTTGCTTTACTTTGCTATTGTTTCCTTGTGGCCTGACTTCACATTTGTAAAGTAAAAACAAACCTAGAACCTGCGTCAGAGGACTGTGAAGTAAGAGGAAAATGTGTGCAGCCTTAGAACAATGATGTGCATAGAAAACAGATTCCCCAACTATTAATTAGTATCCCCTGCATGTCCAGAGCTCCAGGAATCTAAGAAGTTTCAGAATGTCTTCTTTCTCCCTAGACTTCCATTCCTCTGGCTCCTAAGTAGTGCCTAAGTAGTTACTCTGTGTGACCTATAACCAGGAATATTTTCAGCCCTCCACAGAGTCTGAAGATGGAGCCTGGGAACGCACTTTCCCAGCCAGCGTGCTGCAGTTCCTTAGCCTGGTGCATAGAAACTACCCTCAGGATCCAGCCTGGCGAAGTCCGGAATTCCTCCAGACCTTAGCTGCAGTCACTTTCCCTCTGGGAACCTACAAGGTAGGACAGGTCATTATATCCTCATCCCTCCTCCGCAATGATAGCAGGGCTGAGAGTCGTCACCCTGGAAGGGAGGGCAAAACTGTACCCCAAATGCCCCAATAAAACACATTTGAAGGTACTGTGGCTGAAGGAGCATACAACTTGAATGATGTTCTTTTTCTTGACTGGGAGGCAGTCAGTAAGTCACTGTAAGGTAATTTTCAGTCCTGAAATTCATTGTTCTGGAGTTATTAAGACTCTCAGGAGTGAGAAATTTGGTGGTAAATGAAGTGAAGTTCTAGATGAAATACTCAGGCACAGATTGCGGGAAATGACAAGATTCTGCTTTGTCCTTGTTTCTCAGGCCCCTAGTCCTGTGTGCAGACTGGGATTTATCTCCTCTCAGGCCTAGTTGGTGTAAGGTCAGAGGAGTCAAGGCTGAGAATAGAGAGAGAGTGCTAGACCTTGGGGATGATGTGAGACAGTGGGGAGTAAGAGAAGAGACCAGGGCAATAATAAGGGAACTGAGCATGAGACCCAAGAGTCAGTCCCCAAAGGGTGGAGGTTGGCATTTGTGGAGGGACTGGGGGCAGTAGCGGGCAGCCAAGACAGGGCCTGTATCCTCTGGAGGACCACAGAGACCAAGTGTATACAGATGTGGAAAAACTGATGTCGAAGAAGAAGGGGAGAAAGCTTCTTGTTACTTACACCTTAGTAGAGGAGGAAGTGAAATTATCCCACAGTGTATGAGCTAGTGAGCCTGGCTGCAACTGGGTAGCTCCTGTCGAAAGAACTAGTCAGAAAAATGAGCAGAGAGAAGGAGGGAGATTAGAGTGTTCTTGCCAATCACAGAGCTGGTCAGGCTCTGGCTGCTCTGTAATTATTTGTTGAGTAACCAACTGAATAAATGGACATACTCCTTGAGCTAATTAAGCTAATTTTAGCCAATCTTTTCTAGAAGGGTATTCATAGTGACAGGTCCCATCTATACTGAACTATCTGGAACCTGGGACTTTTGTCGCTCTTACAGGCAGCCAGTGCCGGTGAAGTTCCAGTGGCAAAGAGTGATTCAGAGAGATGAAGTGGCCCTGTTTTTCTCTGGGCTCAGTGGCCTATTTTGAGGCCTAGCTCCCAAGATAGTCCAAAGGAAAACATTAGAGCCCAGTTAATTAACTGATTTGGGAGAGATGTCTACTCAGGAACACCAGGCTGTCAGTTCAATGGACAGCCTGAGGATGCAGTGCTGCTCAGGCCCTGTGGTGCCAGGGGTTACCTGGAATCCCTGGTAGTGCCTATGCTTGGAGCACTATGTGGTGCCAGGATTCAAACTTGGGTTGGCTAATTGCAAACATATCCTTACCTCCTGTATTGTCTCTCTCTCTGGTCTGATAGTCCATATTTAAATCTTACCTCAATTCCCTTGTCTTGTTTTTTTAAATCACATTTTTAAAGTAAAATTAAATGTCAAATAAAATCAGGAGTAAGTAATTTTCCTTTTAAAATGAACTGTTTTGTTTTGTGGTTGCTTGGAGGTTATTCTGGACTCCTGTGCTTACAAGGGTGACTCTTGGCAGTGTTTGAAAAACCAGATGGGGCTGGGGATTAAACCCAGGGCTCCTGTATGCAAAGCATGTGCTCAGCCCATCAACCCACCTCTCTGCTCCATTAGTGTTGATTTAATAACTGAAATGTTAGGACTTGGAAAAGAATAAAATGATCTTTTGCTTTAATATTAACCAACGCAACATTAAAAAATTCAGAGTGAAAAGATAATGCCATAAGACCAGAGAAAGACCCATATAAGCAGCAAGAGAGGGATGAGGGCAGCTTTGAAATTCTTGGCCTGACATTTTCTGCCCAGATCCCCTGATGAACCCCTCAGCTTGCCTGCCAAGCTCACCTTCTGCTGAGTCAGGCTCCAGCAAATGCCAGTTGTCAGCCTGCAGGATAGCTGACTAGGAACCTGCCTCCCCAGCTCAACTGTTCCTGCCTGGGGGAGGGTCTGGCCCAAAGTCACCTCCCCAGGTTGTTTCGGAGGAATTGGGCTTGTGTGGAGGTTCTACTGTCCAATTCTGTGATTTGTATCATCACACCTTTCCTTGCACCAACCCCAAATTACCTCAAAACCCTTTGTTGCACTGAAAATGTGCAACCTCTCTTTGCACAGAAGGCTCATGACCAAAAGGCTTAGCTTTGCCGTGGATTTAGATGGCACCTTTCCAGTCCTTTCCAGTCAAGGCCGCATGGAGCTCATTAATGCAGTCACAACCTCCCCCGGTACCATTAAATTCATTTTATGGCTTAATTAAGAATGGCTGCATTAATTTTATGAATGAGCTAAGGGAGGTGCCAACAGATGAGTGCACATGAGAAGTTCACAGGCCAGGAGGCAGGAAGTCTTGGCCGCGTGTCCATGGGCATGTCATTTGACCCTTCAGCACATCTTGGTGTCTGTCCTCCTGGGTGTCTCTAGGCCTGCGACCCATATCTGGTTTATCTCCAGATACTTTTTATAATCATAAACCCCAGTAGAAGACTGAGATGTCTCAAAGATGCCAAGACTCCCCAGAATCTTGCTCTGCAACAGCAGAGCCGAGAAGGTGGTGAAGATGAGGCCCCAGAAGAAGGCCGGAAGTGATTTTCTGGACCCTGTTCCTGGGGCCAGTCATGGCTACCTCCACTTTTCTTTCACTGCCTGCTCAGTTACCTTTCATGAGTTCCTTTTCACTATTGCTGTTTGAGAGATGGGAGTCACTTGCCCAGGACATTTTTGTCACTTGATGGAAACCGAATACTTATTGGTCCATCTTTTTTACTCCAAGCACGGCTTCTCTTCCTGACTCCTGCCTGTCTCAGACTCTGAGGCCACACCAGGTCACATTCTGTGCCACAGGACCCTGGGGCCCAGTCACTGCCTACCTCATAACCTGTTTTTTCATGTGTAAATGGTTTGGTGGTACGATCACCTCTACACACCTCAGATGTGGGTGAGAAAACTATGGGAAAGCAGCTCATGTTGGGGTTTTCTTGTCTTCAAGGGAGCTGCGATGGAGTTCATCCAGGATGCTGGTAGTTCTGAGGTCGAGGCTGAAAGAGACCCTATGGTGACCCTGACTTCTGCCAGGTCACATCCCACCCGGAAGCAGTTGAGGGAGTTCACACAGCTACTCTTGAAGGAGCTCTTGCTTATGGCCTCCAGCCCCAAGCAGTGGTTACCACTAGAGGTGCTCCTGGAGGTATGTGGGGAAGGGAGATGTTGGGCTGGGTCATAGGAACAGACCTTGAGGGCAGGTTATTCCCAGAGATACCTGAGGGCTTATCTCTTCCTAGAGCCCACTCAGGCTGTAGGTGCCGGCTAATTTGAAGACATCTCTTGGGACTGCAATGATGTGGAGGGAGGGAGTCTCCTGGGAACCATAAAACCTGGCATGGAGTGAATAAATCAATGACAGCAGATCTTAAGTAGGATTCCTACAAAAGGAGTCTGAGGGAGAGATTTGGAGAGAAATTATTTGATGGTGGTGGTGGGGATGTGCTATTAGGGGAAGGAGAGGAGGAGAGGGGAGGAGCTAGGAAATGACATAGCATGATGTAACGGTAGTGTTGACCATCTCTGAGTGGGCTCTACCTCAGGTCATGGTCTTTTGCTTCCTGTGTCTTCTCCTTCTCCTCTGTGAGGCAACTTAGTGAGCAGAGGGCAATGCCTCAGAGTTGCGGACTTGTGAGCCCGCAACTGTGCTATGATCATTCTGATGGGAACCTGATGGACAATGAGTGACCTTGATAACTGTGAGACAGACTCAGTCCCTCTGTGCTTCCAGGCTGCTCCGGACAATGCCACCAGCCAACAGAAGCGAGAATTCCAGTCTGAGATCCTGCTTTCCATCATGGAAATATTTCATGTGATGGGTGGAGTAGACTCATCGACACTTAGAGGTGAGCTATCTCAGGTGACCTGCTCCTCCCTGTTTCTGAAACCACTCTGTGGAACGCCAGTATTCCCCAAAAGACAGGCTCTAGCCCTATAGAGGAGGAATGGATGGAAGGGCAGCTAAGTACTTTTGGAGACCCAGGAAGATTCCCTTCATTAATCTTCACATCAGTCTACACAGAATCCCACAAAAAACTCATGGACCTTGCCTGGATGCCCAAGGAAAGGCAGGCTTACTGACTATCCATAACCTCAAGGCCATGGTTGGGCTTCTCAGAGCCAAAGCCCATTTGTTGTCTGACTAAACTTGTTTATTATTTAGCTTCAGTAGGATTATGTCCTCTTCTGGGGAAGTTGAGATGTCAATGAGAATTAAATGCTCCTCTGCTCGCTGTCTTATTCTTTCACCCATGCCTGGGAATAGCAGGCATTTCTCAAATGAATGAATCTGGATGAAGACACTACTCTGGCACCTGAGAAATTCTACTGAAGCATCATTCAGAATATTTAGTTCCAGGGCAGTTGTGTCTTCCTGATGCAGTTAAACTAAAATCCTTTCTGTGGTTTCTAAGTGGAGTCATAGGGTCCTCAGTCACGTGACTTTTCTTCCAGACCTCTCCTACCAGCTCCCCATGGAGAGACTTCAAATTTTGTAGGATATGAGAAGAGTGGTAGAGTGGAGAAAAGTGTGGGTTTGATAAGTTTTTTTATTTCATTTTTCAGTTTTGAGTTAACTGCCTTCCCCCCAGAGATGTCAGGGTTTTCTTCTTTTTGGTTCTGGCTGTGGTGCCTGAATATGTGAGTGCTAACAGCTGTAGCTAAGTAGGCACATGAGCTGAGATCATCAAGTCAGCATAGAGTAATAACTGTGGTGTAGAGAATATGGGTTGACAATTGAGTCTTCAACATTCTAGCTTTGTCTTCTGTTTGATGAAGCAGTAGGGCCCCTAGCTACCATTTACCTTTTGCCTTTACATTGACCTTAAATTTGCTTCCAACATCATGGCAAAAGAACACCAGAGGAAAGACTGCCCCTTACTCTCTTGACTTACCCACTTGGTTTGCATCACTGATGGGATTGTTCAAGATCACTTTACTTTGAATAAATGTTTATTCATTGGGAACCTTCTGGTATGAGATCTCATTTCCATAGCCACTAAGTTCTCAGAGGGTCACAACGGGGGATGCAGAGGAGGCTTCAATGTAGTGGGTTACTCAGAGGGTACTGGAGATGGTGGTGGAAAGGTGATTGTGACTTGGCTGGTTTCTCATATTTGGTGTGTCTCCTCACCATCCACAGGCAGTCAAGAGCCTCAGCAGAATGCAGAAGCCACTGCTCCTTCTCTCACAAACATCTCCCACTTCACCCAGAAACTGGTGGAAAAGCTGTACAGTGGGATGTTCTCAGCAGACCCCAAACACATCCTCCTCTTCATCACAGAGCACATCATGGTGGTAAGAACCCTGAGCTGCCCCTGGGAATGAGGGAACTCCTATTGACCCACTAAGAATCTGTATGACACCTGGCATCCTCTTGGTCCAATCATACCTGCCACCCTCCCTGGAAATAGAATCTCAGATTGGTAGGAGAAGTTAAGAGGATGTTTCTAGCCCTAGTAACCATTCTTGTGGCTGAGCATCTGGAAGGGCAGCCTCATCTCAGTCACCAGATTGCCCTTAGCCATCAGGGAGTCACAATGCACTATGCATTCACCTAAGCTTTGTCCCCTCAACTATAGATTTTTATTGTGATAGTGGGTTTAACTTTAGTTACTATTACTCACCAACAAAAGAAGTTGATGCTTGTTTTTGATGACATATGCATTTGCTATGCAGAAGCTTTTTGTTGCCTCCATTTCCCCCACCAGCTTGCTTCCATTTTTTAAATTTCATATAAATTTTAGTATCATTTCTTCTATATCCTTCAAAATATCTTGGAATTTTGATGGTGATTGCATTGACTCTGCATATGGACTTTAGTTCATTCATTCATTCATCATTCATCATCCTGTTATTCGTCAATTGCCTCGAGCAGACCCCAGTAACGTCTCTTTCATCCTAGCCCTGAGATTATATTCAAGGCTCTTTAGGAGAATGAGACCCATCATTGTTACTGGTATTTGGCATATTTGGTACGCCACAGGGAGTTTGCCAGATTCTGCCCTGTGGGCAGGCTACATTCGATAGCCTGCAAGTTTGTCCAAAGTAGGAATGAGATAAGATGTCATAAAAAGATCTCCTGATAAGATGTCGCGCAGCCGAGAATGTGGCCACGCGGTTCCGGGAGCTGGATTTTATAGTCTCTGAGTCTTGGCCGTTGATGGGATTACACGGCGCCAGGGGGCCAGGTGGTGGGTGTGATCCCCGCCTCCTGGAATTTGGAGGATCTGGGTGGAGGATGCTCGACTCCAATCTGAGTAGGCTTGGAGATCTTGGCCCCGGAACCCGCGTGGCTTTGTCCCTCTGCCAGTACCTTCATGTGTGCGGAGAGTGGTCTCAGCATGGTGGTGGCTGGTCCTGGAGGTCTTTGGCTGCCGGAGCCCTGGTCGGGGCGGGGAGGAAAGCTCAACCCGCTCCCCTCCAAGGGACCCCGGCGAGGAACAGCCAGGCGCAGGGAAAGGAGACTGCACTGGTCTCATCCGGGAGCTGGATTTTATAGTCTCTGAGTCTTGGCTGTTGATGGGATTACACGGAGCCATCAACTATCAATTATCCTTCAAAATATTTTGGAATTTTAATGGTGATTGCATTGACTCTGCATATTGACTTTAGTAAGATAGCCATTTTGACTGTATTGATAGTCCCCAATCTCTAACAGGGACTACCTCTTTATGTCTTGTTCTGTATCTTTTAACAGTTTCTTTTTTATTTTTTGGCTTTTTGGGTCCCACCCGGCAATGCTCAGGGGTTACTCCTGGCTCAGCACTCAGGAATTACTTCTGATGGCGTTCGGGGGACCATATGGGATGCCAGGGACCGAACCCAGGTTGACCAAGTGCAAGGCAAATGCCCTCCCCACTATCCTATCTCTCTGACCCCAACAGTTTCTTATACTTCTGTTGACATAACTTTCATCTCTTTTGTTAATCTTTTTATTACTATTTCATAATTCTTTTAAATTAGATTATAAACAAGATTCTTTATTAAATTTCTCTTCTTATTTGTTGTTTTCATACAAGGATGCAATAGATTTTTATGTAGTGATTTTGTAGCCTGTTACTTTATTGTATTTATTTTTTTAATAATTCTTTTTGTAACATCTGTTTGGGTTTTTTCTATATATATTATTATATCATCAGTAAATCATGCAAGTTTAATTCTCTGATATAGATTCCTTTCCCCCTCCCATATTTTCTAATTGCTCTGATTGAGACCTATAAAACTAAATTAAATAGAAGTGGTAATAGTAGACAGTCTTGTTTTGCTCCTGATCTTAAGGGAAATGGGTTTTTGCTATTGAGCATGGTCTGATATTATCTATACGTTTACAGTATATACTTCTTTTATGCTGAGATGTTTCTCTTATTCCCATATTTAAGAGATTTTTTCAAATGTTAACTTTGTCATTATTTAGAAATGCTTTTCTCTTTCTCTCTTTCTTTCTTTCTTGGTCAGGTTTCCGTCATGCAGTATTCCAACACCCACCCCTTCAACAGTATACACTTCCCACAACCACCCTTCCCCATTCTCCATGGCAGGCTCTCTCTCTCTCTCTCTCTCTCTCTCTCTCTCTCTCTCTCTCTCTCTCTCTCACACACACACACACACACACACACACACATACACACACTTTTTCTCTCTCTCTTTCTCTTTCCTCTCTCTCTCCCTCTCTCTTCCTGTTTCTATTGAGTTTTTAATTATAAATGGGGTCTCAATATTTTCTCTTTATTAACATGATCAAATGATTTTGTCCTAACTTTTACTGATATAGAATATTTCATTAATTTATATGTAGATGTTCAATAATCTGGTATCCCTGCAATAAGCAAATTCTTTTTGTGGCATTGTAAATGATCATTCTGATGTAATGTTGAATTTGATTTGCTAGTACTTTGATGAGAAATTTTGTATCTATGTTCAACAGATATATTGGTGTAGTTTTTTTTCCTTGGGTGATATCATTGGTTAGGTTATTTTTTTTGTTGTTTGTATTAAAGTAATTTTTGTCTCAGAAAACATGTTTGGAAGTATTCTCTCTTCAGTTTTGTTAAAGAATTTGAGGGAAAAAAGCATAGTGTTTTTTTCAAAAATAAACTACAAATAAATTCTATAAATCAATTTATAGAATTTACCAGAAAAGCCATCTGTTCCTAGACTTTTGCTTTTGGGGGAAATTTTTGATGACTTTTGTAATTTCATATTTATGATCCATCTCCTAATGTTTTTTCTATCTCCTGAATAAATCTTGGTCAGCTGTATTTTCCTAAAAAATTTCTATTCCCTCTTGATTGCCAAATTTATTGTCATTGTTATTCATTGTAGTATCTTATAATCCTTTGTATTTCATTGACTTCAGTTGAAATTTCTCTGCAGCTTTTCATTCTATTAAGAAATTTCCTCTCCTAGGGGGCTAAAGCAATAGTACAGTGGATAGGACACTTGCCTTACACAGAGCCAATGGGTTTGATACCTAGCACCATATATGGTTCCCCAGGTCCTACCAGGAGTGATCCCTGAGCACAGAAGCAGGAGCAGGCCCTGAGCTCAATCTGGTGTGGCCCAAAGAACAAACAAATAAAATTTATTTTCCTGCCCCCGTGTTTTTATATTTTTTGATATCTTGCTGTTTCTAAGTGTAGTTTCCTTTTATTTTATAGGAGTCTCTTTAGGATTTCTTGCAAGGCCAACTTAGTGATGATGAATTTCTTTAATTTTTGCTAGTCTATGTAGCACTTTATTTCCTTTTCAACTCTGAGTGATTATCAGGGTAGAATATTCCTTGTTGAAAATCCTTCCTTTCAGCACTTTAAATAACCATGCCATTTTCTTTCTGTCTGCAAAGTTTCTGCTGAGAAATCTACAGATAATCTTGTAAGCATTCCCTTGTATATGATTTTCTTTTTTCTAGATGACTGTTTCTCAAAGTAGGTAATGCCACCCCTTTGGGGGAGCTGGAATGATTCAGGGGTTGGGGTGGGCAGTAGGTTTTATTTCAATTTGTAGGTACTTTGTTTGCTTAAGAAAGTAGATTCCAAGGAGGGGCCATGTTGAATCACTGAGTAACTTTTTTTTTCCCTGAAAAGGGAGCGGTACCAAAAAATTAGGGCACCTCTCATTTAGATGCTTTTAATATTATCACCTCTTTGTTTAGCTTTCACTGCTTTTATTGTAATATTTCTTAATATATATCTATTTTGGTTTATTTATTTGGAATTATTTGAACCTCTTGAATTGGATTTGGTTGTCTTCTGCCCCCCCCCCCTTGCAGCTTAAGAAAATTCTTAACTATTATTTCATGTTAACTATTATTAACAGAGTTGAATAACTCTGTTAATTGCACATCCTTATATATTTGGATATCAGCGATGTCAGCTGTATTTCAATCTCTGCTCATTGTGTATAATTTCCATGATATGACCATGGTAATCATTTAATTTTTTTCTTCTCAAGTTTTGGTAACTCTAAATGTCTAAATTGCCTTTACAGATTGTTTATTTAGATTTTGAAAACCCCTCAAATGTAGTGAAAACTAGTCATATTTGAATTTTAGGTCATATCACTTTTTCATTGTGTCATTATTGCAGTTAACTGGGTCAGTCACAAAGCATTCACAAGTTTGTGTTGTGTGTGTTTATTTTATGGCACAGGTCATCGAGAATGCCTCTTCTCAAAGGGATGCTGCCATCAGTGTTTTATACAGCAGTTTAAATAGAGTCATCCTTTACTGCCTTTCCAAGCCTCAGCAGTCCCTATCTGAGTGCCTCAGCCTTTTCAACATCCTGGTCTTTCTCCAGGAACACTGGGACATTATCTTTGCCACTTATAACTCCAACACCAGCTTCCTCTTATGTCTCATGCATTGTCTTTTGCTGCTCAATTCAAGAAGGTAAGAACTACCCCTGAGGGGGTAGCTCAGTGGTAGAGCACAGGACTTGACTTGGCATGTGGGAAACCTTTGATCTAATTCCTGGTACTCACCCCTCACCCACCAAAATAAAAGAAAGAGCTGCTGACTTGCCAAACAGTGGTCAATACAGAAATGAGAGCTGCAGAGCGACCCTGGATTGCAGTTGATTATATATGAATAAGCCTTTGTTTATCCAAATGATGTGCAGTGTTTAATAATAAAGTAAGTCACCCTCAAACCAGTCCATGTGACTGAAAAGCTAGAGTTATCATGGAACAATAATGGACCCTATTTCCACAATTCTTATGTTGCAAGATCCTTCATTGATTTAACTCGGGGTCAGAAAACTCCAACATTAAATATACACATTGATTTTATGATGCAGCCAGAATTCAGAAATATTAACATTTGGTAATTGCAATTCTTAGAATAAAAAAGTATATAGTAAATTATATCACAAAGTCCAGGAATAATTTTGCTTATGGTAAAAACTGTACATACACTTTAATATAAAAGGGTCACAAGCACACTTCTACAAGAAATGCAAAAGAAAAATTAAATTAATCTTATTTAAATTCTTTTGTTTGAAGTCCATCATTGGAAGTTATGTTAGATTATCTGTGTATGTGTATTTTCTGAGCATGGCAGGACTTATGCATCACCTGTGCCATGGCATTGTATTATCTCTTATTAGCAGAACCATGTTGAGTATAGAGGAGAAGACAATGGGATATTATACTGTGCTCTTATACTTTTTTTCTTGATTATACTTATTAGTATAATTACATTTGAGTGATTGAGAAAAGATGCCTCAAATCTTGTTTAGTTTACCACCATTTTTTGTTTTTATTGATGTTATTTTTGGACTGTAGGGCATGACATGTAGATCCAGGGATTAGATGGAGTTAGCTGCTTGTCAGGAAAGCACCCTGCCCACTGTATTATCTCCTGTCCTCCTCTAGATCATCATTAAATGCTACAAAACACTAGAGCCAATTTTTCTTAAAACTCTGGGAAGCATCAGAAGACACTACTAACCCAAGAGTGGCATTTTTTAAAGTAGTTTGAAATAGGGCTGGAGCTATAGTACAGCGAGTAGGGCGTTTGCCTTGCACACGGCCGACCCGGGTTCAAGTCCTCCACCCCTCTTGGAGAGACCAGCAAGTTACCGAATGTATCTCGCCTGCATGGCAGAGCCTGGCAAACTACCTGTGGCATGTTCAATATGCCAAAAACAGTAACAAGTCTCACAATGGAGATGTTACTGGTGCCCGCTTGAGCAAATCAATGAACAAAGAGAGGACAGTGCTACAGTGCTACAGTTTGAAATAAGGTTATTTCTTTTGTGTCTGGACTCACCTGGGATAATTTTTTTCTTTCCTGTACTTTAATAATTTGGCCCCCTTCACACTGAAAACATAGGTGAGAAGAACAGAAAGATTATGCAGTGTGCTCGAGGTTCCACTCTCCCCAGATCCCTCCATTAGCAAGAAATAGTCTACCATCCACAGAGACTTTAGTCTATGAATTTTAAGAATTTTATTCTCATATCCTGGTATTTTTAAAAGTTTCCATCTTTGTCAGTTTTGGATCAATCCACAGCTTACACTGAGGATATTGTTTGGCTGGCTGAAGGGCTCAGAGAAGAGGCATGTGGACATGACAAGAGGCGACCCGGGGTAGAGTTCACAGGGAATCGAATTTGTAAACATCTGTGCCCTACTTAAATCAGCCGGATCCATGTTCTGCAGGGCCCTGGCAAAATAAAAATGCAGAGACCTGCTAAAACATGACTAAGAATGTCAAAAGAGTGGCAGAAGATCCAAAGCATGGGGTGTTTAGAAAGAAGACCTTTACAGATGCACAGGTTGCAGGCCCATGAAGCCAATCAAGGCATCCTTCCAGGGGGAATGAGATCAGCGACAATAAATACAGAGTTCAGTGCTTTTGGGGACAGCAAGGAAAAATGACCAGTTTTTATGGTAGAGAGGCCAGAAGAGAGTTCCAAGGGATTTTCTTGGGAGCATGAGTAGAATGAAAAAGATAGGAGTTAAAGAAGGTGTTTGGGGACTGGGATAGCTCAAAGTCCAAAGTGCATCCCTTAATGACTCAGAAAGAAAGGGATAGACATAGAAAGATTGCATTCATCTGGGAAACATAAAGTAACAAAATAGGAAACTAATACCCAAGAATGGCCGAGATTAGTACCAGGAATTCTACTCCATGAATTCGAGGCCAACCACACATACTAGGGAAAAGGGAGCTCAGATAAAGAGGGGAACACCAAATAAAGGTGTTGGGAGGATCCTCCCAGGATGGGAGAAGCATGCTGAAAGTAGACTATAGACCAAACATGATTGCCACTCAATGTTTCTTTTGCAAACCACAACACCCAAAAGGAGAGAGAGAACAGAGGGGAATGCCCTGCCACAGAGTCAGGGTGGGATAGGGGGTATGGGAGGTGGGAGGGATACTGGGATGCGTGGTGGTGCGAAGTGGGCACTGGTGGAGGGATGATATTTGATCATTATATAATTGAAACCCAAGCACAAAAATGTGTAAGTCTGCAACTGTACCTCATGATGTCTCACTATTAAAAAAATTTTAATAAAATAAATTAAAAAAAAATTAAAAAAACCCCAAAGTGCATCCCTTTCATTTAGGAGGTCCTGGTTCAGTTCTTGGCAGCACCACTTGGTCCCCTGAGTACAGAACCAGAAGTAAGCTCTGAGTACACTGGGTGTGCCCCATTCAAAAAAAGTGTTTTTCTAAAAGGTTATATTGTAATATCTGTTGCTAAAGTTGTTATAAAGGAATTTCTGTAACATAGACAATTTTTTTATTATCTTGCTTTGTAATGATTTTGGAGAATGATTGCAATAAAGAACAATGAAATTGTTTCTACCAAAGAAATGAGTTTATAGTGAAAAATATCTCATCTGCTAGTTTTCCAGAAGGATTTGGATTGGATCCCAAGCCAAGAATGACTCCTTATCATCAAGTATTTCTTTTTCCAAATGAAGAAGTCAGAGAAAAAACAGGGGACGACCTTCCAAGTTTGAGTGACGGTACATTTTATTTGTTGTATTTTCAGAGAGTAGATTGACAGTGGTAACTGCTAGCATTGAATTCTCCAGTTTATCCTACCCAAGATAAGAAACCAAATACTAAGGCTATTCTCAAAGGTCGGAAGAGGTCCTAAGATGTCTCTCTCAGAGTAGTATAATAGCATAGCAGGTAACCCAGTAGAGAATATAATTGGAATAATCATCACTTAATAGAAATTAAATGGAGGAAAGGATAGATAAGAGAAAGCTCTGAAAGACTTGATCAGAATAAAAAATGTAGTATATTTACTAAAATTCTAGAGGCTCTCACTGTGAATTGATTTCACTTCTCAGGCTGTGCTGACTCTGCTGTGCTCTTTATTAGTCCAGCAGAACATCCAAAAGATGGCACAGACTCTCTGGCAGCAGTTCACGGCACAGAGGCGGCAGGAGCTAGAAGACAACTTTAAGATGGATATCTGTGTGAAGCCTGGAGACAGTGAAGTGAAGATTGAGGAGGTCACTCCACTCTGGGAGGAGACGATGATAAAGGCCTGGCAGCATTATCTAGGTCTCTGCCCACTTGGCTCTGGGGAATGGAAATTCTGGGGTGCATAGAGCCAAATTTTTCCAAGGTTTCAGTGGGGGTTCAGTGTCTTTTCTACCTAGATATTCTTTATTAAGTCTTTGGTAGATAGGAGTTATATCACAAAAACCTCATGAATCTTTACATATACACACAAAATCACACACACAATACACACACACATGATTCTTTGCATTTTGGGTTGAATAAAAGGAGAGAAGTCAGAGGTGATGATGAAGCAAGTAGATTCCAGCACTATCTTGGGAGAGAGTCTATCATAGTTGTATCCTAGGTTATGGAACTTAAGGTCCTAGAGCCGCTCTGATATTCACCTGCCAACTTTGAAACCTTGCACCAAATCATGGAGTGACCTGAAACCTCAGGTTCTTTGTGGAAGTCCTCATCACAAAACATTCGTGTCCCTTGCATCCTATCAATGGCCTGCCATCTTACCCTCATATTTGTTGGAGTAGTATAAATAGAATTTAGTGCAATAGGAATGAGATTTTAATTTTGGTCTTAAAGAGATTTCGAAGCATGGCTCATATACTTCTTCCAATTCTTCTAGTAGTGACTCCAGCACTGGTTATTTCCATGTGTATCATTTCAGACCGGCTGCTGTGATAGTCTTTTATTTAATTGACTTCAAATTAATTCTGGCCAATTTGCATGCATGTGAAAAATATGACACTGCATACAATTTGAAGTCAGAATATCATATTGATTTTAGAAAAGAGATTTGTGCATGCATAGAGTGATGAAAAGGGTGAGATAAACCTTTGTTTTTGCCGACAAAAATACTTTGAAAACTTTCGATATTTGAAGACCAATGTTATAAGTGATTTCTACTTATTTTCCATGCCACAGCACTAAATTAAATACTATTATTCTCACTATGAGGATAAGAGCATTCACACTATACAGAGTAAGAACAAAGGAACTCAGGAACTTTAGCTAAGTTGTCCAACCTCTCATTTCAAGGCACGAGCTATGAAACCTAAGTCATGTCTGGTGACCCCCAAAGCCCACTATATTTTCAGTGAGGGCTTATTTTCTTATTGAAGGCAGGCGGGATGGCTTGTCCACTAAAAGATGAGCCAACCTTATAAGTATATGCTCTCCTTTCAAACTCGGCCCTGACAGCCTTTTCTCCCTCTCCCAGCATCTGAGAAGAAGGCACTGTCCAGTCGCTCAAGTGTTGGTCACCATAGCAAAGTTGCTCTGTGGAGTGAAAGCTTGTCTTCGGCCATGAGGCTGATGCCTGGACGGCAGACCAAGGACCCTGAATGCAAGACAGAGGTGAGTCTGATTCTACCTCCTTAGGAAAATATCAGGCATTTGACTGAAAACATCACGATTGTCCCTCTTCTCTGTCATCACTGAAAGTTACCTGATTCCATTTTTTTGTCTTTGTTTTTTTTGTTTTTGTTTTGCTTTTTGGGTCATACCTGGAAATGCACAGAGGTTACTCCTGGCTCATGCACTCAGGAATTACTCCTGGCGGTGCTCGGGGGACCATATGGGATGCTGGGAATTGAACCCAGGTCGGCCGCGTGCAAGGCAAACGCCCTACCTGTTGTGCTATTGCTCCAGCCCTCTGAATCCATGTTCTTATATAAAGCTTTATGAGTGTGACTTACCAATTGAGAGTGTATCTAGGGAAGCCTGATCTTAGGCTTGTAAGAACTTGAAGTAATTACGGGCTCTCCTTGAATGCCAACAGCAGCTATTTCTTTTGGTATTAAAAACCATACCAAGGCTTGGATTATAGGTATAAGGGGCAGAGCACATGCTTTGCAAGTGGGAGCCCTAGGTTCATAATCCCAGGGACTCATGGTACCCTATGCATCATCAAGTGTGCTCTCCCTTATCTACACCTCAAATCCAAACCAATCCCTGTTCCTATTTTTCTTTAACATCAGTTGTGCTCAGACAGCACAAGCCCACAGGTGAGAAAGAGCTTGGTGTTTGAGCTCAGGAAAGGGACACAGAAATGGTGCCACTGCCAACAGTCACAGTGATGGGTCCACTTGATTGTGTGGAGAAGAGCCATTGTGGTTCTCTCATTCATTTGTCTAAGACTGTAGAACAAACCAATCAAAGCTCAGTGGCTCCAGCAATGACTTTGAGTAACCATGATATTACAGTAAAGGAATTGGCTCAGGTTGTTTGTACTCAGAGTTAGTTGGGGCCTCTGCTGCTGGGGTCATCAGAAGGATCTTTGCTCACCTGTCTGGTGGCTATTGCCAGCTAAAGTCTGAGACCTTAGCCAAAGCTGTTGCCCGATCCCCTGAACCTTTGCCTACACACTCTCTCCTAATGTCCTATGTGGGCTGCCTCACAACCTGGCAGATTGGTTTCAAGGGTTAATTTTTATGTTGGTCGAGAAAAGAGAGTGAGATAATGAGAAAGGAAGAGAGCAGGAACGAGAGGGAGGGAGGGAGAAAGAGAAGAGAGAAGAGAGAGAGTGTGTGTCATCTTGTTAGCTGATGCCACATTTCCTTTAGGATCTAGCTTTGGGAAACATGCAGCATCACCTCCGCTATAATCCTTTCACCAAAACAGGCATAAAGTTCACTCCAGATTCAAGAGGAATGAAATAGACCTCACCTGGTGGGAAAATGGCAAGGTTCTGCAAGATGGAAGATCAGAAAATATTGCTGAATTTTATGGGGAAAAATTATTAGGTCTTTGGGGCTGGAGCAATAGCACAGAGGGTAGGGTGTTTGATTCCAGGTTTGATTCCCAGCATCCCATATGGCCCCTGAGCATCGCCAGGGGTAATTCCTGAGTGCAGAGCCAGGAGTGACCCCTGTGCATTGCTGGATGTAACTCAAAAAGCGAAAAAAAATTATTAGGTCTTCTAATGCTGGGTTACAGTCTTATGTGGAGGCAGACAGTAGTCAGTGAGTGGACAGAGCCTTGGGGTTGAGGCTCCTTGGGTGATTCACTTTCTCTCCTGGTTCTACCATGGGACAAATCACCCTGAGACATTGTGAAAAGGAGCTCTAGAAGGGGATGGAATCAACACTTGCCAGACAGAGTAGACTTCAACTCTGCCCTCTTCACTTGGTAGGTGAAGTTGAATCTGAATCCCACCAGCTTAAAGTCAGGGCTCTGCTGTCCCTGCGAATTTGTTGTACACTTGTGGTATGAATTGAAGGGAAGAGGGCTAAAATACCAAAGAGAAGAATGCCATCAGGGAAGGGGACTCTCTTTTCAAGCTTCTGGAGTAATAGATTTCAGAGAAACAAAGAAGGGAAGACCAGAACGAGACCTGACTGGCTTGTCATTGGTGTTCAGAACTAAGGTCAGGCAAAGGCACCATGGGAGGCTTGTGCTAGTGTCCAGCAGGAGAGAGAAGCCACAGGAGATTTCTGTGGCTCACAGCAGTTCTCTCTGTAACATTCTCCTCTCTGATCTGAGTGCTTGGAAGCTCAGAGAGAAATGTGTGGTCCAACTTTGCTAACCACACTTGGGGTTAGCAACCGCACATACCCCATGGGGTCAATTTCTACAAACCACATGTGTAGGCACACATGTACATGCACACATCCCTGTCTCTGGCTCCTTCCTTCTGATTTGACCCCCACTTTCCAGTTACCCTGATTTACTTATCCTTTCTACCATGGTTATGATCTCATGGATCAAAGACAAGCCACTTCTGCATCAAAGTGGACTGTGTTTCCATTTTTCTAATTTAGCTGCATCTTTGCTTAGCTTAGTGCCTTGGTCTGGGTTGGGCGTTATGCCTGGTACAGAGAAGCCTGGAGAAGAATGAGGCCAACACTATGTGGAGCAAGGGTAAAATCCCCCCCCCCTTTGCTGGGCCAAGAGGCGCCAGCCTGCAGACTCTGCATCTATCACTCATCCTCACGAGAGGCCTTTGTGCTAACAGAAGGCACAACTTCTCAGGTACATATGTACACTGTGATGTCATAGGATAAGAGCATCAACTATTTGCCCTGGGGTCTGTTTAATTATTTTTAAAAATTAATTTTGATTATTACAGCTGATTACACCTCAGTGAGCAATGTAATTGATATTTTCTAATGTATCCCAAGGAACATTTTGTACAACACGTTTTTTGTTGTTGAAGGTTAAAGACTTCGTTATTGGTTTTTCCCTAAATATGCCCACATCATTAGTCCCTCCAGTGAGAAGGTCGCCATCTGGAAAAAGCAGCATGGAGACATTATTCAGGCACAAGTGCATGAAATTGGTGTTTCTGCCTCTTCTGTCTCTCTTCTGGAAAGAAGAGGCTTGTAATTAAAGGAGTTGGTTTTGGAGGAAACATTATTCATTTGGTGTTATTCCTTATCATGTCAGCTGCTGACAGCTCTATAGCACTGATAAATTGTTCCTTGGAGTGAGACGTGTTATGCAGGAATCTTAATTCCTTTTACCTATCTCCGTGTTCAGTGGAAAATATTTTCTTCCTGGCAGGTGAGCTGAACTTTGAGGCAAGGCTGGTGCGATCGATGCCTTTCCTTCTTCTTCTCCTGACCGTCATTATAGTCCCTTCTGGGGACAAATTGTGAAGTCACAACATATGGGGCTCTATCAGGGCATGATGGCTGGGATCTTGCATTCTCATGAGGTTACAAGTGTCAGTGAGGGTGTCTTGGAAGTGAGGTCACTATGTCTACCCTCAGCTTGGGGGAAATCTAGCGTGTACTTGGGCCAGTCCTTCTTCTTCATAGCAATGGACTCAGCTTTGCTCACCTGATCTCTATCAGACTTATTTGTTCAAAAACTAGTTGGAAAAAGCATGACAACCAATGTTGACTTCTGTTTTGACCGATATACCTTCATGGTGTGCCATGTTAGCATTATGAAAACCTGGGTCGGGGGTTGATGAGAACTCCCTAGACATGTCTCCTTATAACTTTTCTGATATTCCAAATTATTTTTACACAGCAAATGTTTCTTTTTAAGCATTGGCACAGAAAATACAGAATTATGTGACACAGGTGCTGACATAGGGTTCGAAGGGGCATGATGCTCGAGTGGGTATGAAGTACACGCAGGGCAGGGGAGTGACCATCTGGGGCTGCAGCTGGTACAGAGGTCAGGTCAGGTTGGAGCATGGTCCACAGATGGAGTTTAAGCAGGGGAATGGCACATTTCTGTGCATACAAATTTGACTGGAGGTTATCACCTTAAGGCAGGAATCTGGTTGGGGAACAGGAGGAAACTGTTGTGGTTACAGCAATGGACATCAAAAGACACCCAAGAAAGATTCTAATTCCCCAATGGTAGGAAAAGGGAACAAAGGAGATTCAAGCCAGGACAGGCTTTTGAAATTAGGCAGTGAGCAGAGAGGGGAAGAGGGTGTGAGGTGAGGGGTTTGGAGGGTTTTGCTGGACTCTGTAGACACTGTGAGAAACAAGTTAGAAAAAGTGGTTAGGAGTGCTGAGTCACCTAAAGAGACTGATCTCTATAGGGCCTGGGGGAGCCTCTTTGTGGGGACAGCCTTCTGACTCCTGTCTTGTTTGGCACAGCGTGGTCATTTTATTCCTGAAAGCAACTGCACATGTGTGGACAGCTGTAGCACAGAGGGTATAGTGGGTTACTCCCAATCTCCAAGCAATACTTACGAGGCTTCTCACAGAGTTAGACCTCCAGGAGGAGGGTGGAGCCCAGAGTCCATCTTGTTTGTCATAATTTTTGGTGAGGGCAGAGTAAATTTCCAGTTGCTATTTTTCAAAGTTTGAATGGGGCAAACAAGAAAATAAGGATAGATGAGGATGAACAGATGGGAGTGAAAGGATTTTTAAATAGCACTGGACTTGCTGCAAGACCAGAATATTTGTTCCAATCCACCCTGAAGACTTTTTGTCTGTCCTGGGGCAAGCCTCCTGCCACTCTAACAGACTGGAATTTCCAGGAAGGCTCTCAGTGGGGGTTTCTCAGTGTGGGCAGCATGGCTATGGACCTACTGTTGGCTCTTTCCTTGAATACATGCCCAGGTATTCTGTGTCCCACCCTAACAATGGAACAACTCTGACCCTGGCTGAGTACATAGGACAACAGGTTCAGGTCCCTGACAAGGAAATGGCATTTTGGACCCTCCACATGGAGTACTTCCCCTATTATCTCTTCTAAAACCCAAAGTGAAAGCTGTAAGAATATGAAGAAGTAGAAAAAAATAAAACAATTTCCATGTATCTACCCATCAGTTAACTTTCCAAAATTTTCAACTCATGGCCAATCTGCTCTCATCTCTATCACTTCCCGCTTTCTCCCGCTGCAGAGAATAACTGTGAAGCAACCTCCCAGACATCCTATCATTTCCT